GTGAATTTTTTACCTATTTTTTACCTTTGTTTAAGAAGTATATTCTTCAAAACCATGTTAACTGTTACTTCTGTGGTTGTATAAAAAGGATTAAAAGATAGACTCGAAAATGTTATATTTTTGTAAATAGTCTAAACTTCAACTATAAATAATAACATTGGACTTTTTTTATTTGAAGTGAATATTTAATTTATTTTCTGACATATAACAAATTTTACCATTGTTTCAAGAGACAAAGATGAAATATTTGTCTTGAAAATCATTAAAATTATCATTATTACATCTTTCATCGTATTAGATCAGAAAATTGGTCATATTTTAGATTACAAGACATCTTATATTAATATTGAAATTTAAAAAAGTTTTCTGAATTTTTTATTACTTGATGAATATTAAATTGGAAATCTTAAAACAAAGTAACACTGTACAGTTTAAATAGTAAAATGCAGTTAAGATTAAATATTTTTTAGATTCTTCACATTCATTATTAGATCAAACATCTAACAATAAATGGATTCAAACAGAATATGTTTTATGCTCAATTTACGGAATGATGATAAATTATTGGAATTTCTGTATCCTATAATTTTTCAACAAGAAACAACAAAATTTAAATTTATTTGGCAATGCTATACATAATTTGATGTCTTACTTTAAAATGGCAATTGTTCAAGAGCAAATAATGTGTATACTTTGATTTTTCACAACATATCATCATTACAGAACTCAGTATGAAAGAGATCTACCTGCAGATAATGCTGTTTGATGTTGTTTAAAACAATTTCAAGATGCTGGTAGTATTTGGTATCAAAAAGAAGTGGGAAGACTGAGCAGTTTTCAGAAAGATGATCAAATCCAGAAAACTTTTTTTTTTTATTTTTTGAGCTAACAAAAATCAACTAGATGAATTTCTTTGCAGTTAGATATATACCACAAATGATTGTTTGGAGGCTTGTTCATAACTGCCTTTGCTCCTATGCCTACAGACTACAGATTTTGCAGGATTCACAGCTGGATGATAAACCCATTGTTTTCAATTTTCTCAAGACATTTTGTCAAAAATCAAAGTTGATGAAAGTTACCTTTGGAGATAGAGATTGTGTTGAAGCAATGTTTTACATATCAGAGAAGGGTAAACTGTCATAACTGCAGAATATGGGAATCTGAAAGAGAAATTGAACGAGATTGTCAGAAAGTGAAGGATTGTTTGAAAGTCAAGACTAGTGCTGTCTTCTATGATCTATTATACATGAAAAAATAATTCCATATACTATGAAGTCTTGGAATTGTAATTACATTAATTCCTGAATTTTAAAGTAAATATGTTTCAATATGTACAAAACTCTATTGCACATCTCCATGAAGTAACATTATTTCTGAACAAAAATTTTCTTTAATATTTGATCAATCAAAGAGTATGTGTTGGCTCTTACAGTCATCAAATTTAATATTAGCTGATTTTGTTATACTTTGTAAAAGATCAAGTTCATGGAATTTACAAAATGTATCTTTCATTATTACTATACTTTTAAATTTACATTGAGTGAACTAAAGGAAATGAGTAATATTGATAGTTATGAAAGTTGAACACCATATTGCAAAATGAGTATTAATTTGTGTTTTAGTTTGTGTATTGCATTAAGTTGAGTATTATTGTAGTTTAAATTATATCATATCATAAAGAAAAACCTTAACTTTCATAAATCTGCACAAAGTTAATGAATTGACAAACATTTTTGGCCTGTTTTATAGGCCAGCATCAGATCAAAAGAATAACATAAAGTCTATATACTATTTTAGAATGTACAGATGTTTCATAATGTATTTTACAAATTCAAAAATTGAAAGTTACATTTTAATTTTTTTACAGAACTTTTTGTAAATATCTGTAAAATTTTGAATTTTTTTCATAATAAATTTTCTAATTAATCATTTCCAGTTTTCATAAAATTGTGATTTACAGTTATGGAGGAAAACAGGAGTTATAAGATATTTTTTGAAGTTTTCAATGTGAAAAATTGTATAATAATATAATTTGTTATACATATGTATTATCTAAGATTTTATTAAACATTTTTTTTCTAAATTATTGCTTTCTTTAGTCTACGGTCCGAATTAAAAATAATTTGTATGTATTTATATGGAAAATTATACCCTGACTTACGCGAATTCGACTTACGCGGTTATCGCTCGGTCCCACCTATCGTGTAAGTCCGGGGTATGACTGTACACTCCTGTATACACAAACATTAGATAAGGCTCAGTAGAGTTAACCTAGCACTACTGTAGTGAGACCAAATTGCTATGTGGTGTAGCTATAGACTGGTCTTGCTAGAGAACAGGAAATCTACCTAGGATTTTTCCTACACACAGCCTAACATTTTTAGCTTTTTGAAAATCATTTTTAGATTAAGTTTATATAGGATATTTGAATATGTATTGAATTAAACTGTAATTCTTTTTATGAATTGAAATACATTTAATTTATGTAAGTGTTATTTATTTGCTGTGTTTGATCCATTTTTCTAAAAATATAATTTCAATTAAACATTATATTTAAAACTATAAATAATAATGGTTACAATTTTCGTTATTACTCAGGATATATTTTCTTCATAATTGAAGCTTAGACTATTTACAAAAATATAACATTTTCGAGTCTATCTTTTAATCCTTTTTATGCAACCACAGAAGTAACAGTTAACATGGTTTTGAAGAATATACTTCTTAAACAAAGGTAAAAAATAGGTAAAAAATTCACAATGTTAAAAACGATCAAGTGTAAGTCTTTTATTATAGGATCTGACACTTTTACATTAAAAACACAAAGAATTCTTCTCACCANTGTCGCGTCCTTTGAGATACACTAGTGATGCGACAAAAGATGCATTTCACATTGACCAGTATCGGCACCCTGGGAATTGGCAGCCTGCGTGCATGCATGCACTGCACACCTATCAGGACCTCTCTGATTCCATCCAGTAGCTACTCGTATGAAGCTATTTGACTAATTGTTTTAAGATTTAAAAAGTAAAGAATATTTTATGTTATTTTTATGTACCTTTCTTTACAAAGCTATATTTAATTATAATTGTCTTTAAAAGTACAGTATATTCATACAATTGAAGAATATTTTGTACCAGGTATGTATATCCATCACACATTTTATTTCACCAAGTAAGTTTTTATACCTTTATTTTTAATTTTAGCCCTTATATCGTGGCTAGCGATTCGGAACGTAATTGTGATATTAAAAATACACTTAGAGAAGTCTACGGTTTTTACTAGCTTATCGAACAAACGAATACGAATGGATTCTAGACCATCATTGACGCGCAATTAACTGATTGCCTCTGGAAGTCGGCTTCTTATCATTAAATGTCACGGCACGCCACTGCTGTTTAGTATTAGACCCGCCAGATAAATGTGCCAAAATTATCCCGATACATCTAGAAGAAAACTTCGAAAATAAACTCGATACTCGAAAACGAACTATATTTCCTCTATAATAGTGTTTCCCAACCTTTTGGAATTAGCAACACACTTTGCGTTTAATAAGACTCCTGGGATACACCATAATTCCTATAAAAATGATTAAAAATCAAAATAAATTACGGTTGATTTTAATAAATGATAATACGAAAATTAGACTTACCAAGACGAAAACTCATAATTTTACAAATACTGTATACTATAAAAATAAAAAGACTATTTGAAGTAATGCGTAAAAAACTAGTATCTTTAATTGGTAATCTGTAACGTTTATAAAAGTTCCAGAGTTGGTTCGCCGGTATCTCTATAGATGCTTGCAAGTTTTGTGACGGGGTATTCTGGATGGTGCAAATTTTGCAACAGACGGCATTTTAATGAATACCTCCTTTTTCCTTCCGTCTGACAGCGGTAAAAAATGAAAGACAAATAAAACTTTTAAAAAAGTCTTATTTGAAATTCTAAAAAATATTTAATATTTTCGCGACACACCTACACCACTCTATAACAACCCACAGTCAGGTAGTGTAAGCGATTGATAACCGAGCATTCATTTATTTATTATAAGAAATAAAATACTGTAATCGGTTGATATTGAATTAGTCATTAATTATTAAAATGTAATTTTAGATTAGTTGTTTAATACGAATTCTTTTTAGTTTAAATTTTATTCTTAAAGCCTCCGTAATGGGGATCCAACACTTACATCACCACCATAACTAAGCCACAGATTAAGTGCTAACAATTACACATTCTCACATCAAATTTTTCTGCTGATATTTTGCCAAAACGTTTTTGAACTCACATAACTTGCAGTGCATTCTGGTCGCAAATATTGATAACATCGTTTCTCCATTTTCGGGGAAACACGGTAGTTGGAACTCCATTGAATGATTTTTTAAACTCTTTCCGCCCTGTGGGCACTAAGAGGGCCTCATTTTTAGCAAGCCCAGTATGGGGTGGTCGGGTGATGAGGGACGGGGCCCTACATATCCGGACGGACCACCCCCAAAAATTTTTGGGGATTTTTCCACCCGTCTGGATTCGTTCACGGGTCCCCAGAGCGGCAGGCTGTCACCTTGACTACTCGGCCACCTGGCCTTCCGTTGAATGATTATGATGAACACAAGTGTTATTATGGCGACTAAATGATACGTGATTGTGAAAGTATCATTAATATCAAAAGTTTTGTTTAAAATATATAATATTTTGCCATCTCATAAAAAATTTATTTTATTGCAAAATTCCGAATTAAACTTTAGTACAATGAGCTGTACTAAAGTTTAATTCGGAATTTAGTACAATACTTAACTCCCTCCCACGTTAGAAATCATTAGAATTAATAAAATCAATTACTGTATTATTATTATTCTAAATCAAAATTTAAACAAAGTAAATTAATATCATAAATGTAAATATATTTATTATAATCGATTTAATTTTAGGATTTTATACATATTATTTTCAATCATAAAAAAAATTCATAATATGTAGATGGCGCCATATTTCCAAATTTGAAATATGGAAGAAGCGCGTTATTTCGAACTCCAGTAAAGACGTTAGAGAACTTGTAACTTAAAAGATATACTTTAGGCGATTATTTATCACATTAAATTAAATATAGTCGATATAAATGCAAGAAACACATGTATTATAATGAGTGAAGTTTATTTTTGATTTGAACAGTGTTAAAAATTTTATGTTATAGTAGTTAAGATATTTATGTTGCAGTAAAATGTCGGTTAGTCCCAGATCAAACTTCTTGCGAGTGGCAGGGAGAGATGATGCCGATTTCTTATTGGAATTAATGGAACAACATGTACGTAACGATTTCATGTTTGTTGTGTATAAATCAATGCATTGATCAATAGAGAAATTTATTTATATATAAAGAATTAAGTTTATTTAACTTAATTCTGCATATTTAAATTATCTCAATATTATTCATCTTTATTTATTTTCTTTACAAGAATTTATTTATAATAATAATAACAACTGTACAACACATCACTTCTGGTTGCAAGCTCTTGGCACAGACAGATTATTTGTATAGACATAATCAAGTAACAAATATAATACACCAGGAACTGGTAAAGAAACACAAATTATTAGACATCCACGAACCATACTACAAATACATTCCACAGACAGTATTGGAAAACAACACACACACAATGTACTTTGACAGAGCCATAATCACAGAAAATAATTTACCACAACAGACTGGATATCACACTCATTGACAAATATAATAAAATCACATACATTATAGACATATTCATTCCAAACACTCACAATATACAAAATACATGCACTGAACTCATTCAGGATATAAGGCATCTGTGGAGGATGGATAGGGTGCTTATTGTACCTGTCGTTCTCTCCTGTACAGGTGTCATACCACACAGACTACACAAAAGCCTGAAAACATTATAATTGAATAGAAACATGTACATCACACTACAGAAGGCCACTGTATTGAATACATGTCATATTGTGAGGAAATTCCTTAATACAGACACTGACACACTTATTTAATTTTTGTCTTGTTTTGGTTGCTATACCTTGACTCTGGTCCAGCATAGTATACAGCTAGAGGTGCCAACTGAGTATAACTCACTAAACTCAACATAATAATAATATGAAATATAATGATTTTCCATAATTTATGCTATGATTGATTATTTTTTAAAAATAGTTACAAATTAATATTTTATTGAAAATTTATTTTCATGAGATGACAAAGAAACGTATTTGATACTCAATACAGTTTGATATCTTGTATCTCATCATAAAAGTATATTTTTATCTAGCGAGCAGTCAAACTTTCTATTATCTTAAATTAATACTGATATAATTTAGTTAAATTTTTCAGTAAGTGAATATTTGCTCTGATGAGTGAATAAACATGGTACACCAAAGGTAATTCTACATTTTGTTAATCAATGAAAAATATATATATTTCAACAGATGTCAGAGTGGCAAATTTTATAGTCGGTTCTCATAAACTTGCTATATATCAGAAACTAATTATTACTATCATATGGGATAATACTTTTCAAAAGAACTGTCATTTTTATTTAAATTTAATCAAAAAAGGATAGATTGGTATATTCAAGTATAGAATAAAACATTTTGTAGCACATTTTATTTTACTTCACTATTACTCTGTTATAAACAAATTACTAGCAAGTTCTCACAAATTTAGTTAGGGACAAAAAGATAAAGAATTATACATAAATAACTAGATATATCATTGAATTTAAATAATTACTTATTTGAACTTTGCTTTCTTTCATGTAAACAGTATTTTTAAGGATGAATTTTCTCAAATTTAATACTGATTGCTATAACTGTTTATTTTTGTTATAATATGTCAGAAAACTTGATTTTTATATAGACATGTATTTGTGTACAGTTTAATAATTTCTTTTATATTCACAAAATATACAAGAATACACAAAACACACAAGTATGTCAGTTACTCTATGTTAATAAGTATGTTAGTCTAATTAAAAACATTTATGTTTTTAATTAGAATTATCTATGAAGATAAATCATTAAAATATATCATTATCAAAAACTTAGTACAGAATGAATACGAATTTTGCTTTTTATCTACAATTAATTTTTCCAAAGAATTAAGTCTGCATATGAATTTCAAATTATGATACTACCTACATATACAAATACGAAATAGATTAAGATTTAGTTTTGAATTTTATTTTGTTAAAGTTGCATATTTATGCAGATTTTTTAAATATAATGTTAACTGATACATAATGTTTCACAATTTGATATAATATACTTGTACAGGTTTACATATTATAGAATATTTGTTTTTTGTCTATTAAATCTAAATAATAAAGTACTACAATACTGATTTATCTTCAGTATATTATAATAATAATAATGTATGTAGAAATGTACATTAAATTAATTAGAATATTAATTGGTATGTATTTTTTCTTTTAGAATTCAAAAACTTCATATTTTAATATTGAAGAAATTTTACCATCTTTGAATAAAGCACAGTTACAAGAAGTATTTCAGACTGTCTATTGTATCTGTGAAAAACATATTGTAAATGCTTTGGCAGCTGGTGAAAATAATGATGAACAAGCTCTTTGTTCTGAAGAGGTAATATATTCATTATTACATCAATTAGTCAAAATATTATTTTAATGTACAGTCGACCCCCTATAACACTGTTGATTTTTCCGTTTTATATGAATTCCGTGTTGTACGAGTCATTTAGATTTTACAAATACGTGAGCCGTTCACAGCATTTGTACACGTAGCCTGGCACACGTATTTGTAAAATCTAAGTGACTGGTACAACACGGAATTCATATAAAACAGAAAAGTCAACAGTGTTATAAGAGGGTCGACTGTAATGTATATATCATTTTATTATTTATTTTAATTCTTTGAAACAAAATACACAGGAATGTCTATTATCTTTATGTTAGAGTATATGCCAATTGTTAATTTAACATAAATGATAGAATAAATCTTCAAAAAACTTTTAAAATCCAACAGTACAGTGGGTGATCAGTTAATGACCACTTTCACAAAAGATTTTTATGTTTGGACAAAGAACACCTCACAGAACAAACACAAGAAGAAGTAATGTAAAATAATGAATACTGATTGGTCTTCCCTTGTCTTCAGGCAAAAAAATTCAAAACTTTTTGGAGTGCGGGAGATGTTGACATCAACACTCAACCCAGTATATACTGATCAGATAGTATTCCTCCAAACTTTGAAACTCTCCCTTGTAATTCCAGTCTTTTATTTTTCTGACAGAAACAATTTTTTTTATAGTATTTGCGAGACTGTCAGGCGGGCACTCATTAACTTTTACTCAACGTAAAACTTAATGAGTGCCCGCCCGACAGTTAAGTTTTTATTTTCGAAAGGTGAGAGTATAATAACAAAGGTAGAGAGTGGGCAGATGTCTGATGTTGCTGGGCAGTATGGCTTGAACACCTACAGTAGGCCGCAGTTCAATCTAAGATAGATACAGTATAATTAAGAAGATTCAAGCAGCTAAAGGAGTAACAAAAATCACATCTGAGAAATAAAGAACATTGAAGAACTCATAATGATATCTGAAACGGATCTGACGATAGAAGAACACCAAGAACTCTTGAATAAAGAACACCAATAAACTCGGCGAGATATGTTTTCTTCTGAAAAAAAGAGAATTAATGCCAATATCTGCTATTAAAGATGTTTTGAAGAAGTGGGATGATGTCAGAACCACGGTCTTAGAATTGTTCTCTACATCAAAATACAGTCATACCCCGACTTACGCTACCCCGACTTACGCGAATCCGGAGTTATGCGATTTTCAAATCTCGTCGATTCGTTTTTTGTTTCAGCGCCACGCAACTCTTGATTATTCACTCCCCCCACACTATTGTTCAGCTTAATGTTCGGACGTGTGGCGCGGAATCGACACATGGCTACAATTGATTTTGTGTAATTTATTTCTGTTTGTTATATCTACGGAGACTCGAGAGACTCTATATGGTAATTTCTTGTAACCGTGAACGAACCAAAAGGCGAGATAAGATTAACGAGAACATTTATTAGCTTACATACATCCGACTTGGATTTTACACAAAAGGCATCTGCAATCGTGAACAATTGACGAAAAAAGTATACATTTATCAGATAATAAACAAAGACTCATTTTGTAAACAATTTACCTTTTGTATATACAACTGACAAGATTACCTTTCAAATTATAAACAGACTCGATCCCAAGCGGTCTTTTGATCGTCGGACATACAAAAGAAATGAACAGATGGCGCCTAACTTAAGCGCGGTTTACAATAACGAATATGATTAATCTTAACACTCTACTATGTCATCCAAACGAAGTAGAACTGATTCTTCTGCATCAAACAAGAAAAGAAAAACTTTATCTTTGGAATGTAAAGTTAACATTATTAAAGACTTCGATACAAAAATGAAAATTTGTGAATTGGCAAAGAAGTTTGATCTACCGGAATCGACGGTCAGAACAATTATAAAAGGTAAAGAAAAAATTCTCTAAGCTGTAAAAAATGCTCAATCTTTAAATTCAAGCATCATTCGTAAACGTCACGGTATTATCGCTGAGATGGAAACAATGTTAAAATTATGTTGTGATAATCAAGTAAATGTGAAAAATTGTATAATAATATAATTTGTTATACATATGTATTATCTAAGATTTTATTAAACATTTTTTTTCTAAATTATTGCTTTCTTTAGTCTACGGTCCGAATTAAAAATAATTTGTATGTATTTATATGGAAAATTATACCCTGACTTACGCGAATTCGACTTACGCGGTTATCGCTCGGTCCCACCTATCGTGTAAGTCCGGGGTATGACTGTACACTCCTGTATACACAAACATTAGATAAGGCTCAGTAGAGTTAACCTAGCACTACTGTAGTGAGACCAAATTGCTATGTGGTGTAGCTATAGACTGGTCTTGCTAGAGAACAGGAAATCTACCTAGGATTTTTCCTACACACAGCCTAACATTTTTAGCTTTTTGAAAATCATTTTTAGATTAAGTTTATATAGGATATTTGAATATGTATTGAATTAAACTGTAATTCTTTTTATGAATTGAAATACATTTAATTTATGTAAGTGTTATTTATTTGCTGTGTTTGATCCATTTTTCTAAAAATATAATTTCAATTAAACATTATATTTAAAACTATAAATAATAATGGTTACAATTTTCGTTATTACTCAGGATATATTTTCTTCATAATTGAAGCTTAGACTATTTACAAAAATATAACATTTTCGAGTCTATCTTTTAATCCTTTTTATGCAACCACAGAAGTAACAGTTAACATGGTTTTGAAGAATATACTTCTTAAACAAAGGTAAAAAATAGGTAAAAAATTCACAATGTTAAAAACGATCAAGTGTAAGTCTTTTATTATAGGATCTGACACTTTTACATTAAAAACACGAAGAATTCTTCTCACCATACTGTTGTTGTTCATTTTATTGGATTGGTTCAGTATGGTGAGAAGAATTTTTTGTGTTTTTAATGTAAAAGTGTCAGATCCTATAATAAAAGACTTACACTTGATCGTTTTTAACATTGTGAATTTTTTACCTATTTTTTACCTTTGTTTAAGAAGTATATTCTTCAAAACCATGTTAACTGTTACTTCTGTGGTTGTATAAAAAGGATTAAAAGATAGACTCGAAAATGTTATATTTTTGTAAATAGTCTAAACTTCAACTATAAATAATAACATTGGACTTTTTTTATTTGAAGTGAATATTTAATTTATTTTCTGACATATAACAAATTTTACCATTGTTTCAAGAGACAAAGATGAAATATTTGTCTTGAAAATCATTAAAATTATCATTATTACATCTTTCATCGTATTAGATCAGAAAATTGGTCATATTTTAGATTACAAGACATCTTATATTAATATTGAAATTTAAAAAAGTTTTCTGAATTTTTTATTACTTGATGAATATTAAATTGGAAATCTTAAAACAAAGTAACACTGTACAGTTTAAATAGTAAAATGCAGTTAAGATTAAATATTTTTTAGATTCTTCACATTCATTATTAGATCAAACATCTAACAATAAATGGATTCAAACAGAATATGTTTTATGCTCAATTTACGGAATGATGATAAATTATTGGAATTTCTGTATCCTATAATTTTTCAACAAGAAACAACAAAATTTAAATTTATTTGGCAATGCTATACATAATTTGATGTCTTACTTTAAAATGGCAATTGTTCAAGAGCAAATAATGTGTATACTTTGATTTTTCACAACATATCATCATTACAGAACTCAGTATGAAAGAGATCTACCTTCAGATAATGCTGTTTGATGTTGTTTAAAACAATTTCAAGATGCTGGTAGTATTTGGTATCAAAAAGAAGTGGGAAGACTGAGCAGTTTTCAGAAAGATGATCAAATCCAGAAAACTTTTTTTTTTTATTTTTTGAGCTAACAAAAATCAACTAGATGAATTTCTTTGCAGTTAGATATATACCACAAATGATTGTTTGGAGGCTTGTTCATAACTGCCTTTGCTCCTATGCCTACAGACTACAGATTTTGCAGGATTCACAGCTGGATGATAAACCCATTGTTTTCAATTTTCTCAAGACATTTTGTCAAAAATCAAAGTTGATGAAAGTTACCTTTGGAGATAGAGATTGTGTTGAAGCAATGTTTTACATATCAGAGAAGGGTAAACTGTCATAACTGCAGAATATGGGAATCTGAAAGAGAAATTGAACGAGATTGTCAGAAAGTGAAGGATTGTTTGAAAGTCAAGACTAGTGCTGTCTTCTATGATCTATTATACATGAAAAAATAATTCCATATACTATGAAGTCTTGGAATTGTAATTACATTAATTCCTGAATTTTAAAGTAAATATGTTTCAATATGTACAAAACTCTATTGCACATCTCCATGAAGTAACATTATTTCTGAACAAAAATTTTCTTTAATATTTGATCAATCAAAGAGTATGTGTTGGCTCTTACAGTCATCAAATTTAATATTAGCTGATTTTGTTATACTTTGTAAAAGATCAAGTTCATGGAATTTACAAAATGTATCTTTCATTATTACTATACTTTTAAATTTACATTGAGTGAACTAAAGGAAATGAGTAATATTGATAGTTATGAAAGTTGAACACCATATTGCAAAATGAGTATTAATTTGTGTTTTAGTTTGTGTATTGCATTAAGTTGAGTATTATTGTAGTTTAAATTATATCATATCATAAAGAAAAACCTTAACTTTCATAAATCTGCACAAAGTTAATGAATTGACAAACATTTTTGGCCTGTTTTATAGGCCAGCATCAGATCAAAAGAATAACATAAAGTCTATATACTATTTTAGAATGTACAGATGTTTCATAATGTATTTTACAAATTCAAAAATTGAAAGTTACATTTTAATTTTTTTACAGAACTTTTTGTAAATATCTGTAAAATTTTGAATTTTTTTCATAATAAATTTTCTAATTAATCATTTCCAGTTTTCATAAAATTGTGATTTACAGTTATGGAGGAAAACAGGAGTTATAAGATATTTTTTGAAGTTTTCTTATTATTTTAAGTTTTATATAAATGTTAGACCTGTTTAATAATGAAAATTGTTAATTTAATTAAGATATAAAATGTTCTATGTTCTAGGAGTCTGAAAAAGCAAAAAAAGTTATTGACACTGTTGTAAGTTTGGCAAAGATGGTTATTGTATTAGAATTACATATTCCAGAACAGTTGATTCAATGTGTAGTACTTCTTCATGGTATGTATTTTTATTTCTCTTTTTAACTAAGACTTATTTTCTAATTATGAAAACTAATTAATTACAAAACAATAATTAAATTCAATTTTAAACATAAAATTATACACATTAGATTTTTAAGAAATTTTGTTTTTATACATTTTAATACACTATAAGTTTCAAAATTAAGTAATTGAATACAATAGATAGAAATAATAAATTTTAATAAGTTTTTGATATTTATCATAATATCATAATAGCTGAGATTCATATTTATCATAGATAGCTGAGATTCTATCATAATAGAATCTCAGCTATCTAGCTATATTAATTAGAAAGTAGATAAATTCAGACGTTGGAAATATGTGCTTTAAAGCAGAAAAATTAAATCAAGAAAGTGATCATTAAAATATGATGCAATAATGAAAGGTTTTACTACATATGTGTACATCTTATAAAATCTCACAATATGAATAGCATTGTGTTTAACTGTAAGATTTTTAATTAATTTGAAAATTTTTAAAAAAAATTTTACAATTTACATTCTATACAGTAAATGCATTTCTTAAAAAAATTAGTGATAAAAATGAAGCACTAAAAAACCTTTCCTTATTATCAACTATGTCATTGAACATATTATAGATATTAGTATTTTCATATGCTTTGATTTTTAATTTGATGCAGTTTTGAATATAGTAGAATTCATTTATTGTAATCACTTTAACATAATGGTGATAATAATAACTGACATATTTGTTTTTTCACTTAATATTGTCAGACTGTAGTTAATGGAAATTTTAGTTTTATTGAATTCAACATTAAAAAGAATATATTAAAACAATTCAAAACTTAAACATTTATTAATTATAATTATCATTAATTAATAGTAATCCATCCAAGTACAATTGAAATAATAAATGAAATAAATTGAAATAATAAATAAAGGTACAATTGAAATAATAATAAATGCAATTGAAAATAAATTCATACAATTGAAATAATAAATGCCAGCACCTTACTGCAAGTAGATAACAATTAATGTTTAAAGTACTGATTAAGACTGAAAATGATTTTATGTTATCATTCTTTATGTTGAGGCTGACAACATGAAAAGACAGTGTAAAAATGCCTACTTATCTTAATTTAATAATAAGTATAACCAGAATTCTGATTACAATAATAAGCAAGGCTTTATAAATGTATTTAATTTATATCTTTTAAATTCATACAAATCATTCAGTAGACAGAACACTTCTGTCTACTGAATGATTTGTATGTTTGAACAGTGAAGCCATCTACAACCTTATTACTCATATTTGAAGTTCAAAGTGTCCACTACCGGTGCGTTTACCTTAGTATTATTGTTAATTTTTATAAAAGTCAAAAACATAAATGTGATAAAAATGTATTGTTCATGGCAGATGCCAATGAATAAGTAATTTCACATACTATTTGATACAGTGATGTCATTCTTTGACATTCAGCATTTGATGATGATTTATCAATAAGAATAATTAAACAAATGACATTGCAAAAGATTATTTAGGAAAATATTATTTTGGGAAAAAAGTGTTTGGAGAAAAATATATGGTAGAAAATTATCTGCAATAATTAATTATTGATTTTTTGAGAATTAAATATTTGTTTTTTTAGCTTAATTTAATTTAGTGAATTAGTTTTTTTAATTTATTGGAATTTTTCAAATAATTTACATTTGAATCTTAGTCTTTTCCTTTACAGGTATTTATTAAATGCTGAGAAAAAATATTTAAAATCTATTCAAAATTTCTTTTTTAACTAATAAAAGCAGTATTATTTATACTTTAAAACAAATTTTTATCATAATGTATATAATATAGAGTGAATATATTCTGTTCTATGTTTGTCTTATTTTTATGTATAAGGTTTTTTTGTAAATTATAATTTATTTTCTGTAATTGATATTGATTTTGTTATTAATAATACTTTTGTGCATACTTTTTGTTTTAAGGAATATTACCAGGTTTTTCAGATAATCATGATCAGATAAAGAACAAAATATCACAGTTATGTGAATTATGGTTTACTAAAAATCTTGAAGAAAAGGAAATTATTTACAGCAATTCTATTGTATATTTATTACAGAGGAGCTTAAGATCTAAAGCATTGGTAAATATATACTTATTATAAAAATTTTCTGTGATTGAAACTAGCAGTATTTAACTGGAACATTGCAAATCAAATCTAACCCATGAAGATTATTTTTGCTCTTAGAGATGTATTTCACAATAAGTGTAAATTTACATGAGCAAAAACTTTAGATAAATGTTTCAAAAATGTATTAATCATAATACTTTTTTGAAACCAGAAATTATTAATAAAATGAAAATAAATATAGAACATTATTAGGAATATAATTTGCTTTCTATAAAACATTTAATACACTAATCTACTATCTGTTGCATTAAAAAATATATATTGAATCTAATTATTAAAATAGTTGGACAGCATTGATTTAGATTTGAAGTTATTCCTATTATTCCTACTAATATTTTTTCTATAATTTGTTGATAAAAGTTATGGCTTATAATAGTTTATGAATAAAATAAATTTTGTATATAGATAAAACCAAACTTGAAAAAATCAAACTTTAAATTAATACAAAAAATTTAGTTTTAAAATTAAGAAATTTTGTTAGTTCTAATATAAATTAATAACTAATAAATGTTTTCCTCATATAAAGAAAAATCATTTATAATGAAATTCATATTCTTGTTATAATATTTTTTATATGTTGAACTTTATTAATATATTACACAATTATATTGTTCATTCATTATGTAATATTTTGCGTAAACTTTATTTTATAAAAAGGAAATATGTTTTGGACTATTTGCTCCCCTTCAGTCCTTATTATACAATTTGATGAAATTACAGAATAAATTATGATTAAATTAATAACTATTTATTATCCTACATACATGTAAAACCCACAAAAAATTAAATTACCTGAAATGATATTTAATAGTGACTTCTGGAGTAACCAAATATTTTAGAAACAAAGTGGATAAAACAAGTAAAACTAAAATAAATTTTAAAAATATATTAACATTAAATAATAAAATAACTATAAAATAGCCAGGAATGCATTTCTTTTTTTTTTGACATAAAGTCTACATTACCCATCAAAAGTATTCCAGTATGATGTAGTTCTCCATAGCAATTTTGTGCTTGTTTCCAAACAAACTAAATTTTTATCAGTATCATTTATATAATACAATCAGAATTTTTATAAATTTTTTATACAACAATGAGTTTAAGGGAAGATCATACTACATCAAAAAGAAATCTATTACTGTTCATTACTAATTTATTATTTTTAAGATTGAACAAAATTTAAACTAATATTACTTCTTATTATAGCTCTACATTATTAACATTTTAGTCTCAGTTTTTTTATATAAATAATAAAATGTTTATCCTTTAAACTAATTATTTCATTAAATTTTAGTGTTTAATGTTTGTTATTGAACATAGCAGCAATTTATAATGCATGCTTATATAAATTTTTTAAATGTAATATTTAGTTAATTAATTTAAAATCTAAATTATTATTTAAAAAACTTATTTAAAATTTATAAAATTCATTATACAGTGAAACCTGTTAATGTGATCACTGAAGGGACCAGCTCAAAGTGGTCATCTTACACAGTTGGTCACATTAGCAGGTATAGAATATTTTATAAACATAAAATATATAAATTTATATCAGTACACTAAATATTTTATAAGTCAATTTTAATTAGAACTAGTTTTAACAACAAATGAATTTATAAATTTATGATTTTAAAAATGTAGAATGTAAAGAATTTTTAGTTAAAAAAAAGTGTTTGCTTGAATCGTTCTTAAAATATGTTTAATACAAATAGTTTAATTGAACATTATTTTTTATACATTTAAATAATACTAATTTACAAATTACTTTATAGTTTTTGTCAACAATAATAATAATTTTTAATGAATATAGAAACATGATGTAAAACGAGTATGGAATATGAAAGAAGGTTTAATTGATATTTTTGATAAAGAAGATGAAAATAAAGAAACTATATTATCATGTTTAGAAAAATGTGCTATATCACAAATGTATTTGAATGTAGAAGAGGTATTTATAAAATTTTTAAATATTTTTAATAAAATCTTTGTTTGTTACTCAGTTAAAATTTATTTTTAATTGAGTAATTAAGTTATTTATTAATTTTTATTATTTTGAATATTTAGACAAATAATTAATCCTTGTACGTAATTGAATTATACAGAAAGGTAAACCAAATACAGTGGAACCTTGCTTAACGAGCATAATTCGTTCCAGAATCATACTCGTAATACAAAACACTTGTTAAGCGAAACAATTTTTCCCATAGAATTCAATGTAAAATATGATGATGCGTTCCATGCTGAAAAAATACTCAAATATTTTATGTTTAACGTTTATTCAAAGAAAATTGTATAATGTGTATTGTTAAGGAGCGTGAATTATCATCATCTTTTCTTCTAGCATGGAATGAACCGACCTGGAATGAGAATTCAATTTGCAGAAAACATAAAACATCACAGATAATATGTTTGATAAACATTCCAAACAATATGCCAAATTCTTGGGCTATGTAAAGGCTATAATTAAATAGTAGAAATTAATTAATTTGACTAGAGTTAGGCAGTTATGCTTTCATTTTGTATTAAATTTAATAATTATAAATAGTTAATTTTTAATTCAGACATTTCTAAAATTTAATTTGGAATTGGTCATTAAATTTAATACAAGATGGCAGCATAACTGCCTACCTCTAATCAAATTAATTAATTTCTAATATTTAATTATAGTCTTTACATAGCCCAAGAATTTGGCACATTGTTTGGTGTGTTTATTATATAATGGGCTATGGTTGTTGATGTTTAAAAGTAATATGTGTGAACACATGTTTGGAAAAATATGTGATTACAAGTGACATTAAGATGCTAGTGGAACGAGTGCTAAACACAGACTGATGGAGCATGCACACAATTCAGGACTATTCCTCTCCTCATCACTCATTAAGCAAGGCAATTTTTTACAATTTGTTTTGCTCGTTAAGTGAGGTTTCACTGTATATTTATTATGTAAAATTTTCCAAAATCAGTCACTAAACAAAGCAAACTATAAAGACTATTTCTACTAATATCTTCAAATTACATTAAATATTCATTTTTATTATTTCAATATATATTTGCATTTTTTATTTATATTTTATAACCTATTGAAGAATTATAAAACTTAGTAATTAAAATTACATTCTCAATTAGACTTGAGTTTATTTCTTAAAAATCTTTCAATGAAGTGAGAATCTTCTGTTTAAAAACCAAACAAGTTTTCTTAGTTACAATTATCCATGTACATGGATAATTATAACTAAGAAAACTTATTTGTTTTATCAATGAAATTCATTTTCAAAGCATGGTTTTTTCATGTTTAATTTTTTGTAAATTTTCTAATGTCAATCTAAATTTAAATCATGCAATATGAAGACTTGAAATATTGGGTGTATAAATATGATTCTACCCTTTTCTGAGTAAATAGATTTATTCAAACAAATGTCTTTTTTCTTTCATTTTAAAAACAAAGTATTTTCCATTAGAAGCTACAACATTCGCCCATTTGTCATGCAAAAAATGGATTCCATGAAGGAAGAAGTCTGGTTGTTTTGAAGCAATCCAGTCATCAACCCAATTTTTGATATCCTTATAAGACCTGAATTGCTTTCCAGAAAGGTCACTCTGCATGGGTCAAAACAAATGGAAATCTGAAGAAGCAATATCTGATTAATATGGTAGATGGGGCAATACATTCCAGGTTCTACAGTGCTTGACTGGTCTTGCAACATTTGGGCAAACACTGTCATGTTGGAAAAAACTTTATTGTGTCTTTTGGCATATTCTGGATGTTTTTGTTTCAATGCTTTGTTCAATGTGATTAACTGATTAATTAACAATGCTGAATGTTACTTGTTTGTAACATTCAGCATTGATTGTCTGACTCAGTTGCAACAACTCATAGTATATGTTTATGCTTCTAACACAATAAAGTGCTATAAATTAAGACACTTGGCGGGTTTTCTCATCTTTATTTAGTTGATACGTGTGAAAATTTTACACGTTTCGGGCTCTTAAGTCCCTCTTCAGCCAACTAAAACATTAAAAAAGAATATAACATACATATAAAAACATAAGTATTGTAGAAATCATAAAAATATAAAAGGTATCTTTCNATTATTTATTTTTTGTTCGTATTACATATTTAAATTATTATTGTCATGAATGATACACACATTTAAGAAACTTTGAAAAAATTGCACTTTAATGTATTAATATGATAACATTGACAAGCATTACCAAAACATATTATAATCTGTTGAAATTATGTACAGTTGTGATTCAAATTAATTTACATTTATTTAAATTTAAGGAATTATATATGAATTAGGAAAATAAATGTAGATTCTTATTAATAAATGTTAGTATTCTGTTAATCCAACTGGGGATATGTTTATTAATAAGACACAAGTAATAATAACAAGTAAACTCACATTTTTAATTGTGAATTTTATATTTAACTTTTTAAATGTTTTTGTGCAAAAGATAAGATTGACAGACAGAAATTGTTGCATATGTTTGTTATGTTTTTTTATATCGTATGATGTTTGTTTTTTCCTGCTACAGAAATATCATCTGTTGTAAAACATTCTCCTTAATTTTAACATTCTGATCTGGAATTTCTGTAACTTCTCATATTTTTTGAAGAGAGATTTAATTTCAATACTTTTTCAGAATGCCAAACTCTCTCTCTTTTAACTAATATTTTGTAACTGTAATCAGTTAACTTTTAAACTGTTTGATACAGAAATCTGTTTCATTTGGATAATAAAATTTTCCTGTTTGTGACATCATATACAGTATTTGATCTAATATTGATCATCATTATTAAGTTAAGGCCTGAAAGTTTAGTTAAAAACAAAAATTTAGAAAATAGTTAATTACATTTATTGAAAAAATTGAAAATAGTTTTTAAAAAGTTGAAATAGTTATAATTTTTTTTACAAAATAACATTAATTAAATATTACATTTACTGGTTATGATAATATGATCTAATGAATGAGGATTAATGACAAATTTAATTTTTATTTACAAAACATGAAGTAATAAGGTACTATTTAATATGTATAAATGATCTATTATTTTGGCATAAAATTCTTTGTAAACAGAGAATAATTTCTCCATTTCTACTGAGACAATAAGTACATTAGTAAATTTCAACACTATGAGAGGATCAATATTTACATTCTGAACAGATTCATCAGGTAAAATTGTTGAGTAATTCACTGTTTCCAACCAGGATTTTTGTTATAATCATCTTATAGTTTCTCTTTTAACTTAATTTTTAACCAAAAAGAATTTTATGTAATGCAAAAATAGAGGTTTTGAGTATAAATATACAAAATAAGTTCCATCTTGCAGTAAAATAAAATTGCTACAAAATTAAAAAATGATTAAAGTTTAAATGAATTTTTGAAGTGCAAAAACTCATTTAAAAAATTAACTTCAACATATATCTATAGAAGAATATGAAAAATATAACTCAATATATTTATGAAATGGTAGTAAAACTTTTATTTAAATGTATTAACAGGAGAATTCAGGAAAAATTTGTAAACAGAGCTTGCTCACTATATAGGTTAATTTTTAAACTGTCAGATTAGTGTTAATAAAATTATATGTAAACTACAAAATAATTTTTTTTTTCCAAAATTGTTGATTTTTGGTTTTTAGTTTTGTTTGTAGCTTTCTTATAGTGATAAAAAGTTATTAACTATTTTAAATGATGTTTTAAGCCTGAAGAATAAATATTTGAAAAATTTTTCTTAGTCTTAGTCATTATGCTCATAATTAGACTAGTTATAAATATAATGATATCAACCATCATTGATAGATCTAGTAGATTGGTTTGAAATTATCTTTTGATATTTTTTTCTATAAAATAGCTCACACAGAAGATTAAATCTAAACAATATAATTGAAAGCTAGGTTGTTGCATTGTAATAATATTGACTGCATGTAAATTTATAAAGTTGTAACTCTTATAAAAAAATAGAGATGATTTTGTAGACAAATATATTCCTAATAAATTGGGGAGCAGCTACAGAAATCAGTTTGATTATTGTTACAAAGTTATCTAGCAGCAAAAAGTAAAAATTATTTGATCGTGTTTACATAATACTTGATCTCAGAAATGTTAAAAAATAGAATAAATGAAAATTTAAGTTAATGTTAATTTTTAATGAAAAGAAATATGAATTAAATTAATATATAATTTTGTAAACTTTGTACTAAAATAATTAATTTATATTATTTATTTATTTATTCTATATATTTTTAAACATAAACAGAAATTAGAAATCTACTGTATTCAAGACTTTATGTATTATGCTGTTCATCTTCCAAGGAAAGTTCCACATTCCTTAGCATCCATTCTGAAGAAAGTAAGTCAGGTTGAATAAATACTTTAATTATATTTAAATATATTTAATTTTTTAATAGACATATTTTTCACATTTCAAGTTTTAATATTAATAATTAATAAAAACTTTAATTAACATGTTATATTTAAAAATGTATAAACCAAAAAGACACTTACATTGCAGAAATCAATTCTATATAATTATTTAACTGTTTAGAGAGAGAGAGCTTAAGAGGAAGTACAAATAACTTCAAAAATGTTAATGTAAGTAATATAGAACTGATTCCTTCAAAGTAAATCTTTCTTTGGTTTATAATAAAAAATTATTAATTTTTTAAAGTATTGAAATTTTATGTCATTTTCATTATTTTAATTTATGAAATTATTTTATTCTATTATTCAGATTATTTAATTTTATTATTTTTAGCTTTTGAATTATTTTCATTGTCATCGCAAACAAAATAATGTTGCTATTCTTCTTTTAAATCTTTATGATCCAATCATCTGGAGATCTCTAAAAGTAAGATTAATTTTATTGTGTTAAAAGTTATGCATAATACTTTAGAAATATTAAGATTATATACTGGTAAGCTGGATAAGACAGTTCTTAATAGTGTATTACTGTTCAGTGTTTCAAGCAGTTGACTCAATTCTTATTAAAAAACATTTTTTAGAAAAAAAAAAAAGATTTATTTTGGATAAAGACAATTTAAATATTAAAATATTCTCCTACAAATACAGGTATACCTCGCCTTATGTCGGTAATTGGTTTCAAGAGAGGCGGCGTAAGTCGAATTTACTTGTCTCCGAATCTTCTTGTCACTAGGCTAAACCATAAATTACCATTCCCGGTTCCGTATTTTATTAAAAATGCATTAATAATATATGGTTAATAAGGATCTATTTTAAGCTTACAAGCAAATAAATTTTAGTTTTTAATATAGTACAGAAAAAAGTAATCTAAATTTATGAATGCATGTACTGTAAATACAGTACATACTTGTAAATGTATATATTTTAATATGATTTTAAGTGCTTTAAACGTTTTTCTAGTGATATTACGACTTCATTATTTGTGGCGGACAGATGTAAAGTCGAGTAAAATGACTTAAACTTGATTTTTATTTTTCCATATATTTTTTTGACAAACAATATATAATTGGGAACAACATAACTCAAAACGACGTAAGTCGAGGAATACCTGTACAATATTAAGCATAGAAATTCTAATTTTCAGAGTATGAATAATAATAAACATTTTCAAGACAGTATAATTTTTTGCTTATTCAGACTAAGATTTCTATAAGAAATTTAAATTTTTATATTTTGTTTTTGTTTGATTTAAAGCATTAAAATGTCAATTTTTTATTTGTGAAAATTAGTTCATATCATTGCCAATATTAATTTTTTATGAAGATAGAAAGAAATTCTTTAACAGAAATTTAAGAGTATATTTTCCAAAAAAGCTAAAATGTGTGATGCTATCAAGTACAAGCCAACCAATGCCGTATGTCATCGGGCTAGATAACTGCTATAATACTAATAAATTATGAAACACTTTGGTACTAGAAGGGGGCATTAGGTGCCATCTCTTAATAAATTTAATAATTTTTAATTGAATAATTTAAATAATTTAGAACTACTGNCAAATTATTTATTACCAGAAATTTTACTTACTGATTAATGAAGGTGCTGATAGCCTTATCAGTTTGGAGTATGGAAAGCAAAAGTAACTTGTTAAATTGTCACTTAGAAATAGGAATCATTTTTGAATAAGCATTGTGATCACACATTTTATTGCAATGCTTAAATTTTACAAGTATTTCAAATGTCATGTCAAAATTTTTGTTTTAGTCTACTGAAAAAAGTTTAAAGTGAAAAACATGCCACCCTAAAAAATTTGCCAAATTTCCTGTCAACCAATAAAAATTTCCAAATCTGGTAACACTGACAACATTGCACAAAAACTGCCTTCAGTTCTCAATATCACTTCATGCTTTCCATTCATTTTTTTTCCCTAGAGAGGTGTATTGAACCTCTTTCTGCTAAAAGAGCACTAAGAAGCCATGTTTCATTTATTATGATTTTAGTCAACATTTTATACCTATTGGCTAAAATACTATTGTTTTAAAATTTTAACATTTCTAAAGAGCTTATTATAATAATTGCTTTTTAGAAATATTTAATCAATACAGTATGTTTTATTTGGGAATGACTATGACTGATTCTTGAAACACTATAAAAGCAAGAATTAATTAACAATAAAATGAAAGTTAAAACACTTATTAGTATATAAGGCAACTTTCAAAATATTATTCAATAATCTTTAATAGTTTCTATTAAGCATAAATAATGTATTACATTTTGAATATGATTTTTTAAATCCATCTAAGAATAAAATTGTTTATTTTTTATTAAATAATAAACCAAATGATTGCTGTAATTAATCTGGCTATTATTTTTGCTATTATTAATAATTAGATATTAAGTAATTTGGTATTAGATGTGGACGTTAGGTGCCATCTCTTACCTAAATTAATAATAATTATTAAATAATTTAGAACAGTCTGGAAGAAAAGAACTAGCCCAGAACAATATAATTTATATATTGTATATTATGCCTGGTAAAGCAATAGCTTGCTGACTGCCATAGTGGAGGAGTACATAGGCTGTGGTCATAGGAGTCATCCCCAGCTGGTGCAATGAGTATCAATGAAAGGTTATATTTAGGTTTAAATACATCTAGAAGTGAAAAATTGCTCAGAGGTCCAAGTGACATAACTGGCAGCGCACCACACAGTAAGCAGAGGTTGTCGGTTTAAATCTTGCTCTTGGTTAGTTCTTTTGTTCCAAGCTGTTCTGAATTATTTAATAAATTATTATTATCATTATTAATTTAGATAAGAGATGGCACCTAATGTCCATCTCTAATACCAAATTACTTAATATCTAATTATTAATAATAGCAAAAATAATAGCCAGATTAATTACAGTGATTGTTTAGTTTAGTATCAAATCATAAGGCTTTCGGATGTTTATTACATATTAAAAAGGAATGCGTTTTTAATTAGATAAAGCATGCTATTGCTTAATCAGTCTTAAAATATACAAATTGTTGAAATTTACAGCTCTAAATGATAATGTGATACCATCATTAAAAATTTATAAGTCTAAAATTATATTACAAAATTCCAAATTAAATTATCCACCAAAATTCCATACATTATAAAAACTTAATCTATGTTAAATATTTTTATTTGAAATGTTTTTCATTTTAAAATATTTCATTTTTTATTATCTCATAAGAAATGTATTAAATTTAAGGTAAGTTTTTATAACTAAAATAACAAACTTTTTATTACAAAAATAGTGTCTACTCAAAGATCCTAGTCCTGAAGTACGTTCAATTGCAATTATAGGAACATGTACTGTTCTCAATCAGCATTGGGAAGATATTCCATCTGAAGTAATTATTTAAGAAATATGTATATTTATATTTAAGACTGTGATGATATTGATTGTAGTTGTATTACATTTAAGATTATATTACAATTTGATGTTTGAAATGTTTAAGAATGACTTATTTCTAAAAAATGAATAATTCCAGGTAATCAAAGTATTAATACAAATATTAATAACTGATTTGGCTTTTGATTCATCATCAGCTGAAGTAAGAGCATCTGTATTTAAGGTACTTATATTTAAATTGATTTATTAGATATTCATTCTGGCATGTAGTGTATATATGTGTGTGTGTGTGTGTGTGTATTAAAAGTAGGAAAATTTAATGAAATATTTTACAACAATGAATTTAATGTAGCCATTAATGAATCAGCTATCTTAAAATAATGTTACAGAAGCTGGAGTATTACGTTTATTATCTATTAAAAGATAAAATAACATCAGTCTTAGGAAAATATTTAATAACTTTGTAGAATTTTTTTACAGATTAAAATTTATTTATTTATTCTTAATATAGTTAAATGGAGTACATGTAAACAAGTTTGAAAATTATTGTTTTCTAAATCTCAAAAAAAACTAAAAATTGCAAAAATTCACTCTTATAGTGAATTTGAATTGGTAATTTGATATACAAGAATTAACAAATTCTATAGCTAATTCAATTGAATCAAGGGTTTATAATTAAATTTTATTGATTTATTTTTAAAGGTTTTTATAATAATTTTTTGTGAATATAATAATATATTTATGTATATTTTAGGGCTTTAAAGTATTGCTTGATAATCCTTTAACTCATCCTACATTAAAGACTATTTTCCCAGCTTTACAAAATTGCTTTCATGATATTGCTGAAAGAGTGAGAATAGCATTTTGTAATCTTCTTTTAAAAATAANTGAATGGAATTGTTTAAGACAGATGAAGTTTATTTGAAGTTGAGTCTTAAAGATGTGTAAAAAATGAAGTCTTTATGCTATCATTTTGGAATACAGTAATACCTTGACTTACGCTACCCCAACTTACGCGAATCCGAGTTACACGATTTTCAAATCTCATCGATTCGTCTTTTGTTTGAGCGCCATGCAGCTCTCAATTACTCACTCTCCCCCACACTATTGTTCAGCTTACATGTTCGGACATGTCGCGCAGAATTGTCACATAGCTACAATTTATTTTGTGTTATTTATTTCTTTGTTTGTTATATCCACGGAGACTCGAGAGACCTTATGTGATGATTTCTTGTAACCGTGAACGAATCAAAAGACAAGATAAGATTAACGAGAACATTTATTAGCTTACATACATCCTTGTATTTTACACAAATTGCGAAATTATACCCCGACTTATGCGAATTCAACTTATGCAGTTATCACTCAGTCCCATCTATCGCATAATTTCGGGGTATACTACCTGATTATGAGACTAATAATTATAATGTAGATAAGGTAATTAAGAAGTCTTTGGAATGAATTCTTATAGTTTTTCCTTTTTAATTTTTCCTATTAAAATTCATTAATAATATTTTCTAATAAGACAAAGTAGGTATGTAGAACAAACGAATGTTACAACAAATAGTTTTATCTACAAATCAAATTGTTACAATGAAACAATTTGATTTGTTGGTGGCCAACATAGTAAGCACAAGAGCATGGCATGTCAAGTTTTCCTGCTTTGATTAGAGTACTAGATGTTGTCTTTATTACAGTTTGTAGGATTCAAATAACTTTTTTATGATCTTTAGCAATAAAATTATATATTTTTAAATTATTTTCCTATATAATTTTAACCATGACTTGGCAGAACAAAGTAAGAAAACTAATTAACTTGAAAAAAAGAAAGAAATAATTTCCGAGTGAGAAAGTGAAAAAATTGTAGGATATCAATTGCTGAATATGGTATGGCTAAATCAACAGTCAGTATAATTTAAAAAAGCAAGTAAGATATAAAAAGTGCACGAAGCGCACTTTTTATATCTTACTTGTTTTTTTAAATGAAGGAAAGTTCTAGATTAAGAAGGAAAGTGAAGGAAATTTCTGAAGGAAATTTCTAGATCAATCAGTTCACATTGTAATATCACACAATAGATGGAAACTTACATGAATAGTTTATAAAAATTAATAATTAAAAATTAAATTAATTAATTTTATATTCTTATGCTTATATTTTTGATTTTGTATTATTTTTTTCTTGTTTAAATAGTTATGTTAGATGGTAACTTTGCTCTAGGCCAGTGTTTTTCAACCTTCTTGAATATGCGACCGACCCCTTTTAATGTGATACCTTCATTAAAAATTTATAAGTCTAAAATTATATTACAAAATTCCAAATTAAATTATCCACCAAAATTCCATACATTATAAAAACTTAATCTATGTTAAATATTTTTATTTGAAATGTTTTTCATTTTAAAATATTTCATTTTTTATTATCTCATAAGAAATGTATTAAATTTAAGGTAAGTTTTTATAACTAAAATAACAAACTTTTTATTACAAAAATAGTGTCTACTCAAAGATCCTAGTCCTGAAGTACGTTCAATTGCAATTATAGGAACATGTACTGTTCTCAATCAGCATTGGGAAGATATTCCATCTGAAGTAATTATTTAAGAAATATGTATATTTATATTTAAGACTGTGATGATATTGATTGTAGTTGTATTACATTTAAGATTATATTACAATTTGATGTTTGAAATGTTTAAGAATGACTTATTTCTAAAAAATGAATAATTCCAGGTAATCAAAGTATTAATACAAATATTAATAACTGATTTGGCTTTTGATTCATCATCAGCTGAAGTAAGAGCATCTGTATTTAAGGTACTTATATTTAAATTGATTTATTAGATATTCATTCTGGCATGTAGTGTATATATGTGTGTGTGTGTGTGTGTGTATTAAAAGTAGGAAAATTTAATGAAATATTTTACAACAATGAATTTAATGTAGCCATTAATGAATCAGCTATCTTAAAATAATGTTACAGAAGCTGGAGTATTACGTTTATTATCTATTAAAAGATAAAATAACATCAGTCTTAGGAAAATATTTAATAACTTTGTAGAATTTTTTTACAGATTAAAATTTATTTATTTATTCTTAATATAGTTAAATGGAGTACATGTAAACAAGTTTGAAAATTATTGTTTTCTAAATCTCAAAAAAAACTAAAAATTGCAAAAATTCACTCTTATAGTGAATTTGAATTGGTAATTTGATATACAAGAATTAACAAATTCTATAGCTAATTCAATTGAATCAAGGGTTTATAATTAAATTTTATTGATTTATTTTTAAAGGTTTTTATAATAATTTTTTGTGAATATAATAATATATTTATGTATATTTTAGGGCTTTAAAGTATTGCTTGATAATCCTTTAACTCATCCTACATTAAAGACTATTTTCCCAGCTTTACAAAATTGCTTNTCGGCATTAATCCTCTTTTTCAGAAGAAAACATATCTCGCCGAGTTTCTTGGTGTTCTTCATTCAAGAGTTCTTGGCGTTCTTTTGTCGTCAGATCTGTTTCAGGTTCCTTTATAAGCTCTTCGATGTTCTCTATTTCTCAGATGTGATATTTGTCACTCCTTTAGCTGCTTGAGTTTTCTTAATTATACCGTATCTTTCTTAGATAAAATTGAACTGCGCCCTACTGTAGATTTGTTCAAGCCATACTGCCCAGCAACATCAGACATCTTATGCTCACTCTCTACCTTTGTTATTATACTCTCACCTTTCGAAAATAAAATCCGACGCAAAACTTAATGAGTGCCCGCCCGACAGTCTCGCGAATACTATAAAACAGTGTTTTTCAACCTTCTTGAATACGCGATCCCTTTAACAAGTTAAAAAAATTCTGGCGACCCTTCGCGGCCATATTAAAACTATGTCAATGATTTTAAAAACTACGTGTTTAATTTTCTTTTTGTTGAGATTTAAATATCGATCAGAAAACTAATTATACTGTAAAATAAACAGGCACAGCCTTCTTACTGAAGTTGTAGTTTTTTTATTGTAGTGTAGGATCTATAAACACTTATCTTTTTCTTTTACCCGCGACCCTCGTGTATGGGTTACATAGACGGTTATCCTTTTTATACGTATTTGATGTATTATTTGAATCACTTTTTAAAAATGAATTTTCAAAAAATACTTTTTGCTATTAATTGGTTAAGTGCCATTAATTAAGAAATTGAATTTCTATAGATTTCTTAACAAATTACTTGTATTTTTTTCCAGTGAATTGCATTATTTTACTTGGGAGAGGAATATATCTGTATGCAAAGAAAAGTTTAAATAATTTAAGTGATTCACCACCTAATATTTCTGAAGTTCATCCCAGATGTCGGAACATAGAAAATAAAGAGAATTTTTCAATTATTTCAACTGAATCGCTTAATATAATTACTGATACTGAAGATAATAGGAATGATTTACCATTTCATGATCCTGAAGTTTCTATTGGTGTTTTAGATGCTATGTCTATTATGTGGTCAGGCATCAACAATAAATTACATGAGGTAAACTAAAATATTTAAAAGTTCAGTTGTTATAATTAGAGATTTTAATGTTATAAAATGTTTACTAAGCAATAAATAAAATGTTTTAAATAAAAAGAAAAGTAAATTACAAATAATTTATATTTTATTAAATTAATAATTTTTGTATTTATTAATTTTATGTAATTTTTTTCAGTATTGGGAAATTGTTCCAATAGAGCATCTAATGGCTCGCTTAGAAGAAGACAGTAAATCAGTTGTTCGGCATATTGTGAATATTATTCATAGCAGTTATATTCCAGTATCTAAGCCTGCTATTGTACAATTACAAAGATGTTTACTTTTGATTAAAGAATACAGAGCAGCTTCTCGAGTCTTTTTTCAATATGTACATCAATATATTGGACTTGAAGCAACAGGTAATTTGAACAAGTATTATAATGCTTTTCCAGTTTTATGACTTTTTACTATAAACTTGCAAATATGAACTAATAGCACAATGATGATTTAAGTTATTTATGGTTTAAATAAATTTCAATAATACATATTTTTACCTTGTTTTTTTTTAATGAAAATATTATATTTCAAGTTTCAGTATTATGAATAGTTAGAATTTTCTGTTTTAATTCCAGAATAAAAACTTGCCTATTTTAAGACATTTTTTTGCAATTTTCATAAAATAATTCTCTAAATTCAGTTGAGATGAATGGAATTGTTTAAGACAGATGAAGTTTATTTGAAGTTGAGTCTTAAAGATGTGTAAAAAATGAAGTCTTTATGCTATCATTTTGGAATACAGTAATACCTCGACTTACGCTACCCCAACTTACGCGAATCCGAGTTACACGATTTTCAAATCTCATCGATTCGTCTTTTGTTTGAGCGCCATGCAGCTCTCAATTACTCACTCTCCCCCACACTATTGTTCAGCTTACATGTTCGGACATGTCGCGCAGAATTGTCACATAGCTACAATTTATTTTGTGTTATTTATTTCTTTGTTTGTTATATCCACGGAGACTCGAGAGACCTTATGTGATGATTTCTTGTAACCGTGAACGAATCAAAAGACAAGATAAGATTAACGAGAACATTTATTAGCTTACATACATCCTTGTATTTTACACAAATTGCGAAATTATACCCCGACTTATGCGAATTCAACTTATGCAGTTATCACTCAGTCCCATCTATCGCATAATTTCGGGGTATTACTGTATTCAATATTTTATTACAAAATTCTCTTGTAAAATTATTAGCATAAACAATTATTAAATGGATTTGTTATTAAACAATTCTTAAAATGATTGTTCTTAACATAACTGCTATGAAACAAATTTAAAACATTAAATTATTAGTACAGTAGAGCGTCGTTTATCCGAATCAATTGGGGACTGGGTTGTTTGGAAAATTTATATTTCAGATAACCGATTATGTATGAAAAAATATATTAACCTATCACATGTTGAAATTTTTCTCCATTGCGTGTCACTTTGCGTTGAATTTTCGTCGATGTTAAGCCTAACAAAGACTATTGTATCGTTAAAATTATTTTTTTATTTTGTACAAACAAAATAAATATATTGAAAAATAAAAAACAATAAAAAATTATACTTCAGAAGTTAATTTAGTATCAAAAACGTAAAATAGTTGAGTAGCCCAAGACATAGCTAAAGATTGCAGCGCCACAGCACTGGTGAAAATTTAAATTTGCCAACTGGAATTCTGTCGGATAAACGACGCTCTACTGTATACGTAAGCTTGCCATATGTTTTTGAAAACCTACATTATATTTCTTCAAATTAATTGCTAACATACAAATGCTTATTTAATTACAGTTTTATTATTTTAACATGGATTTTAATTTATTAAATATCATATGACATATTTTCTTTGAAAAATGTATTTTCATCAAAAGAAAACCAATATTTATTTTTCAGATTTTTAAATTCAAATACATTTAATATATTTGTATCTAATACTACATATATTAATAATTAAGGATAAGAATTTTGTTTTAAATGTATGAAATGGAAGAAATATAAAAATTATGTTACATAGACGGTTATCCTTTTTATACGTATTTGATGTATTATTTGAATCACTTTTTAAAAATGAATTTTCAAAAAATACTTTTTGCTATTAATTGGTTAAGTGCCATTAATTAAGAAATTGAATTTCTATAGATTTCTTAACAAATTACTTGTATTTTTTTCCAGTGAATTGCATTATTTTACTTGGGAGAGGAATATATCTGTATGCAAAGAAAAGTTTAAATAATTTAAGTGATTCACCACCTAATATTTCTGAAGTTCATCCCAGATGTCGGAACATAGAAAATAAAGAGAATTTTTCAATTATTTCAACTGAATCGCTTAATATAATTACTGATACTGAAGATAATAGGAATGATTTACCATTTCATGATCCTGAAGTTTCTATTGGTGTTTTAGATGCTATGTCTATTATGTGGTCAGGCATCAACAATAAATTACATGAGGTAAACTAAAATATTTAAAAGTTCAGTTGTTATAATTAGAGATTTTAATGTTACATTTTTTTTGTTAAAATAATTGTATATTTATAAGATTTTTACTTTTATAAGCAAACAAAAGTTTTATAAAGAACAAAATATTTCTTTATAACAATATTAATAATAATAATTAAATAAATAATTTTAATTAAATAAAATGCAGAGTTTTATATTTTACAAATAATCGTCACAATTCTTCTCTTTGGCCTTAGTCTTACTGGTAGCTGGGTTGGAACATCTGGATTTTATTTTGAATTGCCATTGGCCCGATCATGGGCCTGGTCTGGATGTAGGCCCACAGCCCACAGGTTGTGGTGTAGTGTGTCCAGCCAATGCTGCCTTGGACGAGATTCAGATACCTTCAAATGTAGGCCCATGTGGATGATGGAATCGGCATCAGTGTGGAGTGCATGGCCATAGAGGTGCAGGCGACACTTGCTTGCTTTTTATTAATCATTATGATAAATGTACTGATCGATAAAGTGATTGATTTACAGTATCTGTTTTTGAAAATGGTTTTTATACAAGGTGATCATACTGTAATTAAACAGTAGGTATTCTGTGTTCTCTAGAAAGTACTATTTGGCAATCTCAACCAAATTTGGTATAAATACTGTCTTGAGTATGCATCTTTGATTTTCAGGAAAGAATTTTACTTTAAAATTCAGTCACTACAGATTTTTTTTTTTGTAAAAAAAGTGAATTGTTATGCAGAAGATCCTACAATATTACATTATCATACAAACATATAACTTATATAAAAAATATAAAATAAATTAAAAATTAGTCTTTCAAGTAATAAATATGTACTGTTATCTTATTTCAGCCAAAAAACAAAGAACAGTTAAAATTACTTATTGCAAATCTACAAGGATTTATGAGTACTCTGTTTAAATTTTTTAAGGTATGTGAATATTTTTATTATTGGATTGTTCGGAAAGTAAGTTCATTTTTTTCCATGGGAAAAAACACAATATTTTTATAATAAATAAATATTTTATTGAATTATATATCAACCATTTTGGTCAAATATCTGTTGTCATCGTTTCTGGTAGTAGCATGATTTCACATTCATAAAAGTTTTGGTCGTTGCTTACAAAAAACTGATTTAAGTGATTTTTGACATTGTCATTTCAAGTAAATGTCTTACAGTTAAAAAAAATTTGTATAGACTGGAACAAGTAGTAATCTGCGTGTGCTCGATCTGGCAAATATGGTTGGTGTGATAGCACGTCTCATCTAAGTTATAACAGTTTCTGACGAGTTACCAAACTTGTGTGCAATTTGACATTATCATGGTAAAACACTACACCTGTTTTGTTGATCAATTCTGGCCGCCTTTTCTGTTTGATGATATTACTCAATTTGTTTACTCGATGGCAGTACACTTTCGAATCAATTGTTAAATTGTCTGGTAAAAGCTCCAAAAAAAAATTTCCTTAAAATCCCACCAAAGAGAGCATCTCTCTTTAAGAACATGTGGAACCCATATATCAAGCTTTGAAACGAAACCAATTTGTTTCAAGTAATCATAAACAGTTCAATTTGACAAATTTAATCTCTTAGTGATTTCACGTGTTGTTATTTGGCAGTTTGCTTCAAACAGTACCTTTATTTTGTTTTCATTGGCTTCAACTGGCCATTCTCAATGTGGTGCATATTCAATATTGAAATTGCCAGAACAAAATTTTGTAAACTAGTTTTGGCACTGTCGTTCTGTCAACACATCATCTCCATACATGTATCACAATTTTTTTCTTGCTTGAACAGCATTTTGATTTTTTGGTAATAAAAAAGCAAAATATGCCGAAAATGATGCTTTCGATCTTCCATATTTGATGGGACACAAAAAATAAACAATTGCACAGAATCAAACAAAGTTTTTTACAAATAAGCCTTAAAATGCTAGCTGTCAAAATATATAATGATAATATGGTTTAGAATGAAAATGGCAGGAAAAATACAACTAATCTGTCTAGTGGTAAAAAAAACGAACTTACTTTCTGAACAACCTAATAAAAATTGATGCTTATAACATAAAAAATAAATAAATAAAATATATATGTATTTAAATTTAGGATAAAGATGCTTGTGATTCTGTAATATATCTTTCAAGTTTTTTCCCATCATCTTCAGTACCAACATTTTATGGTCAGTGTTTCAATCGATTAAAAAATCTTCCAGAGGATAGTAAATCATTGGACTTTAGTAACATATTAGAGAGTCTTTGTAATCATGGTCGTGCAGTTGATGTTTTAGAACTTATATCAGATTGGATTGCACATGGTCTAAAACAGAATCCTAATGAACTTTCTCAAAAAGAAGTAAGCAGATTATTTAGTTTATTTTAATTTTTCTTATATTTTCAGAAATTAGAATAAAAATTACAAGTTTTATTTTTTAACTAATATAATTGTGTTGATTTAATAATTTTACTTATTATTTTTTCATTTAAGTTAAAAGTGCAGACTAAAAAGAGAGTGAAATTTATAGAAATTGATAAGCCAAAACCATTATTAGCTCTGAATTTACTTGAAGGATTATTACAACTTCCATTGTGTAGAGAGAGAATTTTAAATCATCAAGCATCAATACTTAAACATATAATAAATCAACTCAGTTCTGTAAAGGTTTGTAACTATTTAAAAAATATAACTATATATAGTAATGAATGAAATTACATTTATTTTTAAGAATGTTATGCTATCAATAAAGTATTTGAAATTAAAAAGTGTTATTATTTTATTTTTTATTATAATTTACTTAAGATTTCAATTATTTTTCAGGATCTTTTGCAAAAACGTTTTAGTAAGGAAGAATTTTTAAATCATTGTTCTGATGAGTTTCTTCTAAAAGCTTTTATTTTACATAACAAATTGATATTGTTGCTTCAAAAAAATGTAAGCTCATTATTTTAACTTAAATTAAACTAAAATAAAATATTTGAATAATTATGTTTATATGTTTTTAAATACAGCTAGATTACATTTATTTGCATATTAGAAATAGAAATGTAATAATACATGAAAAGATGCTGTATTATTAATGAATTTATTTTACCAAATAGCCAACTTAAATACTCTTGTATATTAGTATATGTGAATATGTTTACTCGTAATACATTAAATCAGTGTTTTTCAACCTTCTTGAATACGTGACCCCTTTACAAATTAAAAAATTCTGGTGATCCCCACGGCCATATTAGAACTATGTCAGTGATTTTAAAAACTACATATTTTATTTTCTTTCTGTTGAGATTTAAATATTGATCAAAAAACTAATTGTACTGTAAAATAAACAGGCATGGCCTTCTTACTAAAATTGTAGTTTTTTATTGTAGTGTAGGATCTATAAACACTTATCTTTTTCTTTTACCCGCGACCCTCGTGTATGGCTTTGTGACCCCCTGGTGGTCGCATCCCACAGGTTGAAAAACACTGCATTAAATTTTAAAATATTTGATATAAATTGAAACAAAATTTAAAATATAAATACGTAAATTTTATTAATACATATTTATACTAAATAATTTAGGTAATAATGAGATTAATAAATAAGATGGAATAAAAAAACAAGTCAAGATTTAATAGCTCTATAAGTAATAGATGAGATTTAAAAAAGATTGAGTTTTACAAATATTGAATTGTATGAAAATATGTAATTTTTTTATACTGAACATTCTTAGGAAAATCCTAAAGTGTACGGGGATGTCTGTGTTGAAAATTACATTTATTCAAATAATTACAAAAATAAGTCTTCCTTAAGAAATTGTATTTTAGAATTAGTTTAATATTACTTCAGTTAGTTCATTTTTTGCTTAGGAAGATAAGATTCATGTTTTGACTGATTTTAAATTTTGATGTGTAACATATACTATAGAAGTTATATGCAATAAAATCACTTAAATTATATACTAGAAGAGACTAATACTACCTGCCTTTTTTGTTCTAACATTACCTAAGTTTGTAGAAATAACCCTATTTGTAGTTCAACAACATTTAAATGGGGGAAGGGAATACTTTTTTAAACTTCCTCTACAACATTTTTTCTCTGAGCAGGCAATTGTGCCAAAATATATCACTTCTAGTTTTAAAGCAGATAAAAAGTGAATGTTGAAAGAGTTGTGAATTCTTTGGATGTAATATCAATGAATTACTCATTACAAATTTGTGGATAGAATAAAATTAAATAATATATATGATCATTATCATCCTCAATATGAATAATGTTCATTATTTTATTACATAAATAGAAATATTGAATATATTTAATTTTTTATTAACACTTATTAAGAATTTTTAATTTTACTTTCCATTTAAAATGTTGAAGTTAACACATTGTTTTTTTCTAAATTAGTATGTACAGTAATTGATTTCAAAAATATCTATTAAAACTTGAAAATTAAGTATTGTGCTTTTTATTTTTAATTTTTGTATGCATCATTATTATATAATTTTTATTTTTATGAAACTTTATAAGCCTTTGACAATATTTTCAATTCAGAAACTGCAACAGATAATGTGCACAAATTAGAATGTACAGTACATCTTTTGATAAAGTAAATGTTAATGTGAGGAGCCAGGTTAATGCATGCGCCTTGACCCGTTTATCAGCAATGGTCTGGTGAAAACTGTTCATGTTGTCAATGGATGGCATTTTTTGGTGCACGTTCTCCTGGAGTTCCAGGATTGATTGGTCAGATTGAGTGGGATGGTGAGTGAGGTTGGCATTACCTGAGTAACAGTCACCAATAACAAACTTAATACGGATAAATTTTTAATGAATAACTAAAATCTAAACAAAGGTTACAGGAGTATGGGTATAATAGCGAGTAATGAGCTGCATATAAAGGTTAATAATCTTATTCTATCTACCAAAATTCATCAATAACATATTATGAGGCTGAGAGAGAGTTTACAGAAGTGGATGAAGCATCCTACCTCTTTCCCTTTTTCATGATCAAGGATTGGTCACTGGTAATCTTCTCTGGGTGGTCTGATCAGGGAGAGATTGTTTCCAATGGATGATCACCCCAAAGTTGGTGTGCGTCGTCATTATATCTTCTGTAGGCTGGGAAAATGATCAGGTGATCGAGTGTTTTTGAAGACGAAATTGCAGGTTTTGGGTCATAGATGAACTGGGAAGATGATAAGATGTCATCTAAACGGAGAAGATAGTGTAATATTTGGCTCATGAAATGTTAGATTCATCCAGTTTATTCATTCGAATGTTAACATTCTCATCTTTAAATAATAGATTGTTATACTTTCTTAGCATTTGTTTTGATGAGAAGGGTGACATCCAATTTTTTTTCTGTGCAATGTTTTCTTAATGATTGCGTTGGAAAAGGTGGTTAAAATTTTCCCAACTTAAAGAAAAGTCAGGTCTTAGATCTCACATTAATTATTGCTTTTGTTCAGAATATTATTTTGAATTTTCAATGTTCTGAATAGTTATCTGAATTTTTAGTATCTTTATTTCTGTTTGTTACTGACACACAGTCAGTAACAAACACTTTTGTTAAAAAAATAATAAAATATCATAAGAAATAATGGAAGGTTTACCTGCTAATGTAATCTGTTATATTGAAATTAATTTATTTCCATTTCCACAATAATAAATTTCAGTCAATTTTGCATACCATATTTTAATTAACAAAATTTGTCATACGTATGTATTATTTAAAGATCAAATAATGTAAGGAATTATATTAATAAAAACTTAACTTGTAATTTCTTATCTGCTTGACGGTTTTAAAAAATGCACAATGTAATAGTTTTTTATATATGTTACCAAAATTAAGTGATAAAACTTTAAATTAATGAATAAATTCAAATAATCTTCATACATTCATATTTGTCATATATTATTGGTACTTTCTACAGGTTATGAAAAGAGTAAAATAATCAACTTTATAAATTTTTATTGTGTATATTTTTAAATATTTAATATATTTATATATATTAATATTTGAAGATACATTTTGTGTAAAATTTGTCTTAACACTTATACTGTTTGGAGACATTTACATCAATCAATAATGAATTATTTCTTGATTGATTTCAATATGAGACACCAGCACATACAGATTACAAAATAAGCTATAATTTTGCCATTACAGGAAATGGAGACTAATTCTCTAACTGTATACTAACCATGATAAATTATGAATTTGTATCTGATTTATTCATATACTGTATATCAGAATGTTTCCTAGCATTAGGTTGGCATTTAGACTAAAAGAGCTATGTTCAAATTTATTTATACTCATAATTTACATAAGAATCTAATTAACCATTTGTAAATTAATATCATATCTGCAATACTTTGATTTTTATCATTACAGTATTGCAGTCAAAATGATACTTCATAATATGTAGACTTATATTGTTAAATATGTATTAATTGTCAAATANCATTGACATCTGAAATAATTAAATATTTAATTAAAATAATTTCATAATTTCCTAAGTGAAGTGCTCCCACATCATTGGATTGGAACAGTGGACCCAATGACTGTGCCCTACAGGTAGCCTCCCAGATTACCAGATTTCATACCTTGCAATTGCTTCTTTTGGAGAATGCAAAAGACTGTGTGCAGGCTGCCAATGTACAAACTTGCAGGAACTTAAAATGTGAGTTGTGAATGTTGTACTATCAGTGACACCAGACATGCTACATCAAGTGTGGGAGGAATTGGACTACCAACTAGATGTATGTTGTCTTACTAAGGGAGCTTACATACAATATGAGATAAGCAATAAAACCTTGAGACGCTTTTCATTTACTATATTACTAACCATTCTTTGTTGATAAGTTTTGGAAATATGATCATTTGAAATCCTATTAAATATAAGTAATAATATCTAACTTTGTCATTAAACACTGCTTATTTTCATAAGTAAGATTAGAAGTTATAATTTCATAAACTTTGTATTAAGTTTATTAACCTGATATTCATCTAAATAAATATGTTTTAATATTTTTGTAGCATTTACTTCAAGTCTGTACAGATGCAATTTTGATTGGATATGGAAACAATAACTTTTGTTTATCGGTCTCAAAATTTGCTTGTTTAATGCTTGAAATAGGTATGTCTAGTTTATTTATAATATATAAAAAACATTCAAATAAAATTCTCAATCTAAACAAAATACTTCTAATACATCTAAAATTTTTATTTTCTCTAATCTGTATTATCACAGTAAGAGTGAAAATAAGACAAAAAGTTCTAATTTACTTAATTTCTTCAAATTTATTAAAATATAGATTTATCTGGTGCACAGTTTTTCTTTCTGTTTATGATTTGCATTCAATACCAATGTTGCACTATTTTTCTTTTTCTTAACATATCATCATCAAATTTCTTCTACACAGGAATTGCTTAAGATTGCTTATGGAGTAAAAAATATGCTAAATCAGTTCCATATTACAAATTTCTTTTTTTTTAATTCTGTTTATTCTCTTTAATTTCATATGAACTTTCTAATTGTAAAACTGAAATGATAATTGAATTTTATAGAAAAAAATTAAGATCTGCATAACCAAGCTTAGTGAAGCTAATTTTTTAATAAGAAATTACAAAAGTTTAGTGTTTTATATGTTTGATACTGGTCTGTACACTGTTTCTCTTTATTCTTCCTTGAAACTTTCATGAAGAATCTGAATCTGTTAATGCATTCAGACATCATGTAGATAAATCATATAGTAAATGTCTTAATAAGAATAATCAACATTGAGTTGTAGTAGGTACTGAAGAATCTCAAATCATAATTCTATTTACAGACAATAAACAAAGATGATGATTCAAATTTTTTAAAAAGAAATTGAATTTATTAATTTATGAAAGAATTTTTTGTTAATAAATATTATTTAGAACTGAAAACCTAATTAAATATAATTTTGTGTTATGTGATTCATTGTTATTCATCAAATAACAAGGTTGAATGAATGAAGAACAAGAAAAGTAAAATTATAAATTACAAACTGTAAATTATTGTTAAATACTTCATAGTACATAATAATAATGTTTTACTATATGAAATAAGGAGAAAACTTTTTATTTGTATTTTATAAGACATTGTTTTTATTTACAGCACATTTACATGATAGACTGTTACCATTAATATGTAAAATTATGTATCAGATTGTTGAATATTCATCTTTACATTCAGAAAATTTTGAATATAATAATTGTATTTCTGATCTGATATCAAAAATTCTTCAATATATGGCATCAGTGCTTCAGCAAAATGTTGAGGAAAATATTATGGTTAGTATTTTTTTAAATTAAATTCAGATGTTTTAAGAACACTTGTAATTTTTTTTTATAAGTTTAGAAATAGTTATCTTTCATGTAAGTTCAATATTAAATTCAAAATTATTTTATTTTTTAATATAGGTTTCGACAATAATAAAACCTGCAATCAGTGAGAGTCTTTTTTTCCTCTGTAGAAAACATATATTTAATGATGAATTTGAAAATATCATTGTGGTAGTGATGTCAGCCATATTAGCAGAAATGACCATGATGATCAATAAAGTATGAAATTTTAATTTTTAATTGTGTGATTAGTTTTTTTATTTATTTAAGTGATTAATTCATTTTTTATTTTTATTTTAAAGCATCAAACTTTTGATGAATGTGATAAGATTAATGATCTGCCAATCTTAAGTTCAACTTTACTTACAGTCTTAGCATCTGAAAATAAATTAATAAGGTAAATTATTATAGTTAATTATTATAAAAGCATTTATTTTGAATACATTTTTAAATAGTCAAATCTAAGTGTAATGAAACTTATATAGATTTAACTTTTCTTTTTTAAGAAAATTTTTATAGCAAAAGTTTTTATGAATTTCTTTTAATTTTGGGAATTTTATATTTATTAAGTTTATGAAACTAATATTTAAACATTAAGAAAGGATGCAATTAAATTTGTGGTAAGAAAATCAATGATTTCAATAAAAAAAATTTTTTTAATGTCATATTTATTAGATTATATTCAGGAATATGAAGAATAATTATATTACATTACAGTAGAACCTCCATTATCCGGATTTTCGATTATCCGGATTGTTCAAAATAAACAAAAATTTTACAAATTTGCTGATTTGCACTTGGCGAATTACGACACTGTTTATGTACGTGATGGAATGCATAACTTTTTTTGTTTCAACAACGTCTCACCCAGCACAGTGGTCGTAAACTCTTAAATATATTTTACGTAGTAATAAAAATATAACTTGACATACGTATTTATAAATAATTTATATTCAAATTACATCATTTCTATGACCAAGGGCGGCGTAAGGCATGGACGACGTGGGCCACCGCCTATGCCTCGCGGTCCGAAGGGCCTCGCGCCTCGAAGGTTTATGCATTACTTAAAAGCCGCGAACGCGACGAAAAAATTTTACTCGTCATAAAACGATAAATAGTTTGTCAAATTTTTATTCATAAAAATGCAGTTTCAACTGCTTTTTATTTTATAAAATCCGTCTTCTTGCGCCACCAGAGGGCCTTTTAAACAATAGGTAGTCTGTTAGCGTTGGTCAGTAGTAGTCCAAATTCAATACGAACGTTTGTTTCTTGAAAATTTGATCACGATTTAAATACAGTATTTACTTTTAATATCACCGATATGTCATCGAAAAGAAAACGTGTTGTATTATCATTAAAAGACAAATTGAAGTATTTGTTTCGATTATTCGGATTTTTCCTTATCCGGACTACCTTCATCCCCAATTAGTCTGGATAATCGAGGTTCTACTGTATTTTAAAACTACTAAAATCCAAATACATAACTCTATTTACAGATAATTCATTTATTATATTTTATTACCAAATAATGATATGAAATAATTTAATTTTAAATTAATTATTAAAATTAAATTTCTTTTTCAAATTTATGATGATTTAACAGATATATTTTGAGATAGCTACTGAATCTCAATATTTACTAAAATAATAATGTGAAATTTAACTACATTTTAAGAGAAAATGTTGTAAAAAGTTTAATATTCTAAAATTCATTTTCAAAAAGAAGGAAACAAGTTAAAGACTAGATAAATATTAAAAAACAAATTTTTTTATATTTATTTAGTCTCAATGGTTTTGTAACTATCTTTACACATTTAAAATACATTTCATATTCTTTTTGCTTAGAAGAATTTATCGATTATCCTTAGCATTACAGATTTACTGGTGTATATTTCATGTTTCATGTAGTGAATTCTGCCTGTATTTTTTCTGTGAATTTTTATAGTTCAAATGACTATAGTTGTCTTTTTAATTTTTGTAGACATATGTTTTGGGATAAATAAACACTTTAATTATCAATATATCTAAACTCACTATTATCGATGATAGAGTGTATTTGTTTATTTATTTATTTATTATTAATTATTTCAAAAATAATTATTACAAAATCATATTTTAATCTTGTAGGTTTAGGTGAAATTTAAGAGATTAAATCAAATTAATTTTTTATTTTATGTGGAAAGCATAGATAGCTTTGTCAAAATTTGTAGAATATATAACACAATAAAATGTGTATATTTAATATAGAAATATATAGTAATATATATATAGTATAAATGTGAAAGGGAATAATTTCCCTGTTATAGGGGGTAATACATATTAACAACTTTAGTATACAGTTTTAGTTTACAGAGATTTTATAACAATTGCAAACTGATTACAAATCAACAGATCCATACGTTCATTTTATATTAAATCTTATGTTTTTTTATTAGTTGGAAATGTTGACATAATTTTTTTGTATTTTTTTCCACAATTTTAGCAAAATAATTAAATATTTTATACATATCCTTTTTATTGAGGTTATTCAAATTTGTTTTAAATTCTAGAGGTGAGTTACAATTACAAACACTTATAATTTCATGTTGTTTGTACATGTTTGTAAGTTCTTGACAATTGTATAATAAGTGGTATGGTGAGAAGTCTTCAGAACTTCACAGGACACATTGGGTATTTGAAAAATTAATGTAGATGTTATTAATAAAGAGAGAATATTTATTAAGGTGAAGTTGGATTATTAATTAAGCATTTTATGTTCAAATTAATTGATTGTGACATATACAGTTGGATAGAAGGAATTTGAAATATATCAATATACCAGGGATTGTAATTACTATGGCTTAAGGAGCATTGGTCTTTATTTATAGACTGAGATATAGCAGAGTTCAATAAGATCATGTAACCATATTTCCAATCTTGGATATTGTCTTTGAATAGTAATTCTGAGATGCCAAATGAGTTTAGAATTTTACATAACTTGTAATGCCATAACTGCTTGAATTTTAGGTTACTGCTCTGCTTGATATTTTTATTATATAAGAAAGTTATATTATTGTGATTTTTAAATTTGAGTCTATAATAAAATTTAATTATTCGTTTTAGCAAAAAAAAGAGTAGGACCAGATGCAGTTTGTTTGTGTCATAGAGCATAGCCAGGAACTGTTCTTTCTATGTAGAATAATTTACACAGAAAATAAATGTGAAAAGACTCCAGTTTATATAAATAAGCCAGACTCCAAATAGGACTTGCATAGAAAATAATTGGATTGATTATAGAATTATATAGTTTCATATGAATTTTCAAATCAGAAGTTTTCAAGGTGGAATATAAAAATAAAAGGTTATCAATAGCCTGCTTTACTTTGTTGTTAATTTTAGAAATATGTGCTTTAAAGGTTACATTCCAGTCAAAGGTGATTCCCAAATAATTTATTTCATTAACAGTTTGAAGAAGAATATTGTCGTGATATAATTTAGTTTCTTTATCAGATATTTTGCTGTTATTACAAAAGATAATAACTTTAGTTTTAGCCATATTTATTGCTAGGTGGATCGTTTTAAAGTAAAGGTTTAGCTGATTAATTTTCCTTTGTAGTGAGATTTTTGTAGGGGCTAGAATAACAAGGTCATCTGCATAGAGAATGTAGTGAAAAACACTATTATCTATTTCAATACCATCAGTAGATTTGAGCAAAAGTTGGTCAATACCAAGTAGATAAAAGTTAAACAAGTATGGCGAGAGGAGATCACCTTGAAGAACGCCATGAGAGAGGGAAAGTGATAATCTTTATATTGTAGTTTGAGAACAGTTTTAATATAGTATTTGGTTAACAAATTATTAAATAGTTTAAACATTAATTATAAAAATGTATTCTTAATGATGAAAGTGCTCTGTATATCAATTTTAAGAACATTTTTTTTTTCTACAAATATATATGAATTTAATGATAAACTATATTATATTTTTATATCAATTTTAGGATATTTATGTTTAAATTAGCAGAATGTGTGAAAAATGACAGTTTATCAAAGTCTTCTTCACTGTTAGCTATTGTACATCTTATAAATACTCTTTATAAGGATAGAGGTAGGTCAAAATATGTATTGCGACTGTGTTTAATATAATATTGTACTATGTATTGTATCTGTGTATAAATATATATAAAATTATTATACCCATTATTATAAGAGCAAACAATAAATAAATTCTCATTTTTGTATGAGCCAATAATAATTTATTTATTTATTTTTCGCTTTTATAAGAGCACTGTAAATATTTTGCTCCAAACATCTTTTTTAATTTGGGCAGCAACCCAAAAACTTGGTACTATTTTACTTTAAAGCTTTGTTTTGTTTGCTAAGGTGAATATGTAAACATTATATATACAGGACATTTCTAAAAGAATCACTGGATTTTAAATTACTATAATTATCTTTCTAGTAACTTCTTAAATTTGTCATGTTAACAAATCATACAGGAAAAGGTTTTAAAAGGGTAAATTTTACTCTTCTAAAATCTTTTCTTGTATGATAAGTCCAATACTCGTTAACTTGACAAATTTAAGAAGTACAACAAATAAAAGGACAAGAAGCTCTGAACACATCTGTCTAGTAACTGTTCATGGCAAACAGTTGGAAATGGAAATTCCAAGTTTCATGTAGATGGTGTTTGGAGAGTGAATACTTTGTATCCTTGAGTGCACACACATAAAGAAAATGGCTATTTCAAAAGAGAAAGCCTTTTGTATTCTGCAATTTGTAAGATGTTCTTCATTAATTACAGTGCAGCGTGAGTTTCATTAATGGTACACAAGGGATATCAGGTCATTAGAGCATTCTGTGATGGTATTGACAGTTTGAGAGAACTAGCTGGCTTTGTACAGGTAGAAGCACAGATCAATGAACTGTGTCAGAGAAAAATATAAATAGAATTAGAATAACTTTTTATGAATTCCAAGGAAATCAACAAGATATAACAGTTTTGGCATTCCTTGCCAACTTGTTTGGCATGTTTTGAGAAAACACTTGCAATTGAAACTGTATAAGCTGCAGTTGATGCTAGCTGCAAAGCAACAAGATAAGGCAGACAGACTATCTTTGCTGTGCCATATAACAGGAATTTGAAGAAAAAAAATTTTCTGCTCATCTGATTTCCAGTGATGAAGTCATATTTTATGTCAGCAGGATGGTCAATCACAGAATGGCATAGAAAATGCACATTCAAACATTGAACATGAAAGTGTCACACAAAGTGAATGTTTTCTGTGCTGTTTCAAAAGCAGATATATGGGCCTTCGTTCTTTGTTGAGGATATTGTGATTGATTATTGTTACTTGGACATATTGCCAATGTAGCTCTTTCCATAACAAAGATTTCACCAATTACATTTTCTAAAGGATGGGCATTGACATCTGAAATAATTAAATATTTAATTAAAATAATTTCATAATTTCCTAAGTGAAGTGCTCCCACATCATTGGATTGGAACAGTGGACCCAATGACTGTGCCCTACAGGTAGCCTCCCAGATTACCAGATTTCATACCTTGCAATTGCTTCTTTTGGAGAATGCAAAAGACTGTGTGCAGGCTGCCAATGTACAAACTTGCAGGAACTTAAAATGTGAGTTGTGAATGTTGTACTATCAGTGACACCAGACATGCTACATCAAGTGTGGGAGGAATTGGACTACCAACTAGATGTATGTTGTCTTACTAAGGGAGCTTACATACAATATGAGATAAGCAATAAAACCTTGAGACGCTTTTCATTTACTATATTACTAACCATTCTTTGTTGATAAGTTTTGGAAATATGATCATTTGAAATCCTATGATTCTTCAGAGACATCCTGTATTAATCAATAGAGTAATTTTGTTATGATAAACAATGTAACATCAATTTTATGTACCAAATATACAGTTGTATTCAACAAAACTGCATCACTTTCCTTTTTAGTCTTTATCCACATTTATAAATTATAGTACTACTGAAAGTTATTATTGTAGTACAAGTCAAAGAGAAAGGAAATTGAATGGCTTTAATTGTTCAAGTTAAAGCATGTTTGACTGTCACCAATTAAGATCATTAACAGTAAATAAAATAAATTAGTTGTATATTGATAAAAGCATTATTAAAAAACATTAAAAGTTAGGTTCTCAAATATTAATTACATCATAGTTTTAATATTTGTACATCTTTAGTTATTGACATATGAAACTACACACACGCTTTAAGATTACTCTATTACATAATATGACCTAGAGCTAGGCAGAATTATTATCTTGCAACTATTTTAATAATTATAATCTATTTTTAATGAAGTAAATCATTTTATTAATTTTAATTATTAAGATTTTGATTTTTGATAGAGGTAGGTCAAAATATGTATTGCGACTGTGTTTAATATAATATTGTACTATGTATTGTATCTGTGTATAAATATATATAAAATTATTATACCCATTATTATAAGAGCAAACAATAAATAAATTCTCATTTTTGTATGAGCCAATAATAATTTATTTATTTATTTTTCGCTTTTATAAGAGCACTGTAAATATTTTGCTCCAAACATCTTTTTTAATTTGGGCAGCAACCCAAAAACTTGGTACTATTTTACTTTAAAGCTTTGTTTTGTTTGCTAAGGTGAATATGTAAACATTATATATACAGGACATTTCTAAAAGAATCACTGGATTTTAAATTACTATAATTATCTTTCTAGTAACTTCTTAAATTTGTCATGTTAACAAATCATACAGGAAAAGGTTTTAAAAGGGTAAATTTTACTCTTCTAAAATCTTTTCTTGTATGATAAGTCCAATACTCGTTAACTTGACAAATTTAAGAAGTACAACAAATAAAAGGACAAGAAGCTCTGAACACATCTGTCTAGTAACTGTTCATGGCAAACAGTTNTATTTATATTTTATTAATACATAGTTTTTATTAACATTGCTCATTTATTTTTAAATGTTTACTAGCAACATGTAAACTGAAAGTTGGTGATATCCAAGAAATAATAATACCTGTTAGTGTAATATTAGAAAAAATGAATTCTACAAATGAAGATAATGAGAATGATGATGATTCTGTAGATATTGATAAGTAAGTATGATTAAGTTTGTATTAAAATAATTTTATAAACTAGTTAAAATTTATTTTAAAAATTATCATGCTATATTTTTGCATAATTTCTCTCTTATTTACTGATATTTTACTTGTCCAACATTTGGAGAATCCAGTTGATTGGTAATTTGATTTAAAATATTGAATTGTAAAAAAGGCAATGCAATTTTATAAATTAAAATCAGCCTACTAAATGTTATAGGCAATCTTCAAATAATCTTAATATGGAATAAAAACAAAAATTTAAAATGAATTCTAAATGCATCAGTCTTAAGTATTTCATTTTTACATTTTTCTAGAATTATGGAAATCAGATTTTCTTACGTGACTTGCTTATTTACTATTTGTTTACACCTTTGGGCTGCAATTTGAAAAAATTGTATACAGATAACCCTCGTATAACACAGCACTTCTATAGCACAAATTCACTCTAACACTGTTCGAGAATTGGGTAAAACCCTCGTACAACATGAAATGTACAGTAATAAAAACTATTAAAAGCGAACTTTATCTAATTTGAAATTAGGGAAATCTCCATACAACAGTTCAATAAACGTGATAAAGCTTTTAAGTGCGAAAGATACCTCATTTGACATTTTTCATTCAAGCACATAAATACTATCAGATTTTCCCTGCATAATTTTCATGAACTGTTAGTACTTAAGTATGTAAATTTTCTTTTCTCTCCTTCTGTTGATACACATGGTCTTTCTCGAAACTTGTTTCAGTGTTACCAGATCTCAACGCTTCTGCTTTTGGTGTTGCCAGATGTTTTTCCCTTATTGCATACTTGCTTTATTCTTCATAAGTACTTAGCACCATATAAGGAAATTTCTAAAGATCTTTTAACTAAAAGCAAGCAATCTAAAATAACATATTTTTTGCAAAAGGTAGAGCATGAATCTGAAGATAATGCAGAAAAATGCTCAGAGGATAAGGATATCTTGCCAAAAAGAAAACACCCTTGGTTAATAGTGCTTAGTGATGACGAAGAAAACATTGTTTAATTTATATTAATATGCATTACTTCTTATGAAAATTTTAATAAAGATATTTATCTTAATCATAAAAATATAATAGCATGTTTTTTAATTTTTGGAACCTAACCCCCTTTTTCATACTAGTTCTTTGTTTCTTATAACATGGCAATTTTTTGGAACATAGTTCCTGTGTTATACAGAGGTTACTTGTACCTATAAATGCCTGCTGTCATCTGTTCATCTGTCTGTCTTTCCTTAATCTCAAGAATGGATTTAGATAAATGAAAGACAACACCAAATATGGAAACCTCAGGGGCAGGAGGTCCCAATTAACTATATGTGAACTTTCAATGTAAACCAGGCCCTTAGGGTGCGACTATGCAGACATGAGCAAGCGAGAATATGTGGCAAGAAGAGGCAAGACGCAATAAATATCAAAACCTGTCAGATATGTGCGAGAACCAGAAATTCGCTCTTGCCAGCGTTATTTCTCGCTTCTTGTTTGTGCATGGTTTTCCTTTGCGAAAACTAAATCTCTCGCAACCTCTCACTCGCTCTAAATTCGAGTCTGCATAGTCGCACCCTTAGGCTCAAGTTTTTCATGTTACAACTCCCAACATGTTGAAAGTGTCACGTGGTACCATCTCACACTTTGATGTCAAATCGGTAGTCTCAAGTTATAACTCACATGCTTTCCCATCTCACAATGTGAATTGCTACTCACGTTGAGTTGAGCATGTGAGATCGCTATACGAAAATGAAAATGGCTGATGGATATGCTATTCTGATTGTAATTGAAGTGTTAAAAAGAGCTGAAAGAGTTGATTAAGAAGGCAACGAATTTTTCAACCACGAATACATGCCATTTCTTTTTGTGTCAAGTCAACACTAATAAAAAAAATTTTAATTCATAATTGATAAAATTATAAAGCAAATTTTTCCAAAAATAAAAAGAAGTATTTAATTCATTGAAAAAGAGAATTAAAATGATAGTAAATTTATGTATAAATTATTAAGAGCATAGACACTATATTAAGATTATTTATTAACCAGAAGTGTTAAGCTCTGATTAATAAATAATCTTAATAAACAAAACAATTTAAGAAATAGATCAAGGAAGAAAACTATATGAAGAAAGGATTAAATTAAAATACTTTTTCCATTACACAATGGATTTTTTAGCACCAATACACAATTAATTTTTCAACTAATTCTCTCCACATATCGAATTGTCTTTTTCTTGTAAATTCATTGTTGAATTTTTCACTGTTCATTTTCTTATTATTTTCTATATATGTTACTAATATTTCTTTTTGTTCTTTGCTTATTTTTTAAAATAAAACAGTGGAGGTTTCCATTTTGTTTCTGCATACTATATTGCTATAAGACAAAACTTTTAAGTGTAACACGTGTAAACTAATTCACATTGATTTATTTACAACTTGTTACAGTTAAATTGATTGGTCGAATCATTATAGTCAAAAACCCAGATGCATTGTAAATAATCCATCATGCTTAACGGTATATGTAACCAAGTGAGTATGACGTATTTCTGCTTGCCTTTCAAGTTTGCTCGATGGGTCTAACTTGAGACTACCGATTATGTGAGTCATAGTAACACGAGTGAGTTCAATGATGTCAATTCGAGTACAACACAAAAATCTCTAGACTAAGGACCCAGAAGTCATGTTATTTCAATTCAAAAATTTTTCCCTAAAAAGCATTAAGGCAGCTATACACGATGGGTTAATCCTCAAAGGAGTAACCATGCATGCCTGATTTTGAGTAATTCCTGGAAGTGTGTGGGGGAAAATTTAACAGTTTCGGCGAACTGTACCGACCCCTGAGTAGAATCGCCCATACTTGTTAGGTTAATTCTCAAGGATTAACCATGCATGCCTGACCTTTATAATTCCTGGTAGTGTGTGGAGGGAAATTTAACAGTTTTGGCGAACTGTACCGACTACCGGAGTAGAATTGAAAAACCATTTGATTTTCCTGGTGCAGTGTCAGACTGCGCAGGCCGACCTAAACGTGTGTGAGAACAATGTCTCGTGAATGTTTGGAAGAATTATTTTCTATAACCTTATTAACTTTTATTATTTATAACCTAATAAATTAATTTTTCAGGTTATAAATTATTTTCGGATCAAAAATTTCTTGAGTAAATTAAAATTATAAATAATTTTAATATTTAGAAAACTTCTCAATTCATTTCTTCCGTTTTCATAAAACATCTCGATACTCTTTATCATTTTCTTCTACATTTTAAAAAATTTATTGTTTTAATATCCAAGTAAATTAAAACATGACAACTTAAAATAAGACAAAGTTTAATAAATTCTTTTTAATTATTAAATTATAAAATTAATTTGCGATAATAATGTTTACAATTTGTACTAATATCGGATGTGGTTGAGAATTATTAATATATATTCGTCTATAAAATTTAATCCATGAATTTTTTTGGTAGTAAAATCGACTTGCCATTGTCTTTCGCTGATAATTGATGCTTTTTAACATAATCTATAGCCCAAGATTTCTCTTGAAAAATTAATTTTGTGATCTGAAATAATTCCATTAAAAAATTATTCATATGAAAAATTAATTTTGTGATCAGTGCTACCCAAACCACTACTACTACTATTTACACCATAGACTTCTATGCATACTTTTTTCCCGCGAGTTTTAATAGAATTTGTTGCCAATAAACATCAGTGGCGTAATAATAAACACAATGGCGTAGCGAACATAACTGCACCCGGGCCGCGACACTATATTGGCGCCCCCTCCCCCTCCAGAAACAAATTTTGTTTTTCTTGGAAACCATTTGGCTCCCCTCTGCCAGTGGCGCCCGGGGCAAGCTGCCCCACCCTCTGCTGAGAGGTTTTCTTCGTTTGTGGGCGATAGGAAATTCTGAAGTTCCTCAAGGTCAGGCAGCCTCAAAGGATTAACTTAACGTGTATAGCTGCCTTTAGATAGATGACCAACATGTCTGTATTGTTAAAGGAAAAGTAGGATGTACAGGGGCAAGCCACTACTAATTTGAGGTGGAGAGCATATATCTTAAATAAATTAAAATTGTGATTAAAAATTGCAGCCCAACCTTGTGATGATGTCACAATAAATAATTGCTCATCTTATATACAGTGGAATCCCGGTTAACGAACTTAATCCGTTCCACGACTCCGTTCGTTAACTGAATTGTTCATTAACCAAAGCAATTTTTCCCATAGAAATTAATGCAAATGTAATTAATCCATTGTAGTCTCTGAAATTTTTGTCATTTTATTTGAAATATACAGTAATTTTCTTTGATGAAAATGTAGGAAAACGTAGTATCTATCATTACAGCAAAAAACGTGTAAACTTTGTTTAATAATACCTTTGTTTGTTGTAGTTGGTGGCAGAAAAGTGGAGATATACGAACCTTAATGCTTAGAAGGGGAATCCCCTCCAAAAAAATAACGGGTAGCTTCATCGGAAGATTCTTCGAGTCGAAGTCTCTTTCGGTAAAAAACCCACCAGTGGTTAAGTGGTCTTCGTACCTTGAACACAGGGAGTTCGTTCATGGGTTTACACCTCGCTCAGACAGGCTGGCCATGTGGAGTTTTCCGGGATTTCTCCACGTCTGTAACACCTAAATAGGGGCCAGTTTTCCTTAAAAACACCTCCCAGAAGGCATTCCCCCTAGTCAGATCGCCCAAGTGTTGCATTGCCATAACTTAACAAAGAAACAAACTCTTTCTGTAAAGAACAAGAAATTGATCTAAAGTTGATTGTCTTACTCTTTTAATCAAAATTTTTCTCAAATGCGATAGTGCATTGTCGTTTTCTATTGCCACTATGACTTTTTTCTTTCTTTGATGCCATATTGATTAAATATATAAATCACAAAACTGAAAAAGAAGTATAGCACAAACACTCGGAAAAGCCTAACACCAACTAAAATTTGACACAAAATACCGTTACGTTCGTTATCTGAATTTTGTTCGTTAT